CATAGTTAATATGGAAAGCAAACGATGTATAAATCATGTTTGACAGAGACAGCTCTTTCACAGAATGGAATAGTATATTTGAATCTATACATTTATATGCTTTTACTTATATTCTACTGTTCTACTTATCTTCTTAAAAACCTTATTGGTCATAATGAGAAAGAGGACTGGGATTAGGAAATTCTAATTAGCTGTATTTTAAGAACTTTCTCAACAAACATCTTCAAAAAGCTCTGTTTCAGGGAGAGTTTGGAGATACATTTATTTCCAGATCCTGTTTGCTCCTGCTCTTATTTGGTATTTCCTACAAGGAACGAACTTAGAAAGGAAGAAATATAAAAATAATTTATAGGAGTTCAGTGAAAGGGACTTTAATATTCTGACAAAGGAAACTGCCCTAGAAATTATTTGGAAGCATACTCTAAGCAGAGAAAGTCCAGCTGAGAGTCAAGATAATGGTGTGTCCAGCACTGAGGTGCTAGTTCTGCCTTCTTCAGTGAAATATGCATAAGATAAGCAAACAAATGGGAAGAGTTGTTTGTACTTTCTCATTTCAAAATCTATATTCATTGATTCATTCACTGTAACTGTTTTTATTATGTCTTGTTATGACCTTTTTACTTGCCAAACATATATAAATTCTTTCAGGATTTCTGTGAGGGAAGGAAAATTTTGTCCAGAAAGTGAGGGGAAAAATGCAGCTATATCAGTTATTAAAAATATTTGCAAATGATTTAACTGCATGAGGTATAGGCATTTAAATTCAGAGAAACTTTTTCCGTTGTTACTATATTCAGAGCCAGTGTTGGAAGTTTTTCTTTGTTCTCTTATTTTTCTTCAGATTGCTGCTAGTAATGCTTTAAGAAATGCTTTATTAGAAAATAAACCCATTGTCATTACCAGATCCTTCGACTAACTGTCAACCAAACTTCCCACACTAGTCTCCCAAATCTTTCTCCTGTTCCCATAAAAAGTATTGGGCTTGTTAAAACTCATTTTTTCTATGCAGCATTGTTAAAAATGTCTGATTCTCTTCCTTCAGCTTGTAATGATCATGATTCCAATTGCAGGTGGTGTTTAAGCAGTCTTTTTCAGATGAAGATTCATGGTGCCATTTGCCAACTCTACAGTGGAAAAACCAAACTTATTTCCAACTAAATAAGACCATATTATGATAGAACTTTTTTCCCCCAATTTTCTTGTCCGTTCTCATCCATAAAGTATTTTGTTGAATAGGGAATCCTATCTTAGCTTCTCTTGATTCCCAGTTGTGTAAGTATAAATATATAAAAGCAAAACATTTCTTACTGCAATAATGTAGAATACTTATTTTTAACACTTTTTGTCTTGATTCTAAATGTCAGAATTATTTCCTGTTCACTGAGCAGAGAAAGGCATAAAAAGTAAGACTTATCACTGCCTGGTAACAAGACACTTTTATTGTACTGCTTCGTGGGATAATGACTGCTTATAACAAATGCCTAGCTGTAATGGGAGATCTCTGCCTCTGAGTAACATGGGAGCTGGGGCACTTTGGTGGCACACTAAGGGTCAAATCAAGCAGAGAACTCTTGTTCCCAGATTTTTAGCAAAATGGATGTATGTGAAGTGTAAAATCCCCAGTGCTGCAATTACCCCTGAGTTTGTTTGAGAAAGCAATGGCCTGCCTTACGTGTCAGGTGAGGGTGCTTGGCAGCAGATCTGAGCACGCAGAGGTGCCCACTGTCTCCACAAGGAGAAGCTGACCTGCAAGACCAAAGCTCCCCAGGGACATTTCTCACTAACAGCCTGCCTTCTGTTCGGCAGTGCTGGTGGGTACCACCCTCTGTATTCAGGCTAAACAGGCAGAGGGTCACCCCTGTGGAAGCTATGGATGCCAGTGGGCAGGAGGGAACCCGACAGTGCAGTGTGGTAGACCCAAGGCACTCAAAACTGGCACAAGCTAAACTTCTGGAGAATAATTCAAGCACTGATTTTTGTCATGCATTTCTGACATAATTCCACAGACACTGCTATGACACTGTCACAGCTCAAGGGGGTTTTTTTTGCCTGTGTAAGAATGGCGCTCTTAGAACATATCCAGGCTTTATGTTTCCCCTTATTCCTTGTTGGGAAGCTGCTTGGAGATGAACAACATGGAGTTGAAAGCTGAGCAATTTTTTTAGAGCATGTGCAGAGGAGCACAATATTGACTAAAGAACTCACCATTACCATGAGACAGATTTCCTTTCTATGTCTCTTTCAGGTTTTACCATTGCAAAGGAAACCCAAGGCATGCAATACCAACAAATTAACATACTATTTATCTGATATTTAACATTATACCTGATTATATACAGTGTTACACCCTACCTCCAGACATTCAAGTCTTTGAAGACTCTTTAATTTGTTGATTCATTTTTCATTACAGATAGGAGTTTATATTTCTGTTGCTCCTTGTTTTAAAATGAAAAAAAGTACAAGCTGGCATTTGCCTAGAGGAAGACCCCATTTTAATTCTTGCAGACCAACAGACACCTATTTAAAAGTGAGCACAAGCAGAAAATGATACATCTCTGTCACCTCTCAGTGAATACATTTTTTTCTGTAGCCTTTGATACAGCTTGATACATGCATATTCTATCTACTAATCTGTTTGAGGAGAAACCTCTTACTTGCCCCATCGCTGTCACTCAGGAGAGGAGCTGCTGCTTGGACATAATGGTATTTCTCTAATCACTTCAAGGACCATTGGAGAATGACTGTGCTGTTTTATTTAATAGCCTGCTTGAGAGCAAAAGCCCCTACTGAGAAGCAGGAAGCAGACCATATGCTCTTTTTTCATGTTCACGAGAGACAATTTAAGTTAAATTATAAAAACGTTTGTCTCAGGCTCCTTTACCCATACTCCAAGCTGGCCTAATGTGCTCCAGCCCAGAAGACAAGTGCCCTGTACACAAGCTCATATACATTGTCACTAAGCACACACTTCCTACCGGTCTTGGCAGATTCTGTATAAGGAGACACACTGCCAGTGTAAGGAGAGATGCTGTGAGCAGAAGAGTATGCATATGTTGACATGAGAAATATGTTTTTGAATAAAGACAAACTCTAAACACAAAACCACAATACATACAGATGGATGTTTTTATTGATGCAATGATTAAGTACAGGCAAATTTATGAGATGTTAAGTAACGACATATTTTCTGTTGAAAAAAAAGTAGGAATGAAAAATTAAATGAAAAATTAGTATCAGGAATAAGACTCAAGTTTCCACCTAAAGGTACAGAACCGATTCCATGAAATGCAAACCAAAGAAAATAGAAACTGTCCAATCCCAATTAATAGAACCTCTTACTGCTTGTGTTTAATGTTAAAAATTATGATACATCCACAGAGAGACAGCTGTTAGATGCTCAGAGATACTGTTACTGACCCCAGTAGGAAAGGTTAACATGTACCATGAATCTGAATATCATCAGAGTGCTTATGATAATGAAAGCCATATGATACAATCAATGCTTCAAGGAGATTTAATTTTAACGAAAGATCTGAAAGGCTCAGGACAGAGCCCCGAGGCTCACTGACACTCACAGAGCTTGCAAATGAAAGAAAGCTTTATCAGCACATGGCATCTAAGGGGTGGTTATACGGTAAGACCCAAATCTTATCCCAATCCATGGAGCTTCTCAGGCAACAACTGTTGAAGTGATGCCAAAGGCAGCTGCTCAGCTGAGCAAACCTGAAGAAAATTTGAGGAATGTCACTCAACATCCTTATTCCTCAAAACAGCTGGCCTAAAAATACAAATCCACCTGGTTACACGCTAAACAAATGGTCAGTTTGAGACAGCATATGCCAAAGGATGTATGGAAGGAAAGACCATAAAAATAAGTGTAAGTTTTAATGAACTATAGGGATACTAAACGCTTGGTTCCAGTCATAATGGGAGCTTCCTACCAGGCTTAGAATTCTGGTGTGAATCCAGAATGTCTCTCACTGAACTAATAAAACTGAGAATTTTTGACATGGTTTCCTTCCCTAACAGTTCAAACTCTTAAATTAGGCCCATTGCAGAATGAATAAACAATCCTTTCCCACTCTAACAATTCATTCCAGAGCTGTTGGTCCCTTACCTGACCAAAGCATACATTACATTATGTTACTGACGGACAATAAATGTATCACGTACAAGTTCTGGTTTGAACTCTGATGTAGACACTCAATAGGGACACTTAGGGTATGTTTAGTTATATGTAAAGATTCACATAAGTTAAGTTGTGCGTTGTTGTATTACATTCCTGAATATTCAAAAGGTCAATAAACTTTTTCTTCTGCTGAGGCATATTTCTATGACCTCACTGTTCAGCTTTGTCACTAAGATTTTTTAAAGGCTCTAAGGTCATTAGAAAGCTAAGCTGAGCTACACAATTTAAAAAGGGCTGTATAGGGAATAGTCATTTACAGACAAGGAAATGACTAATTGCACTGGACTTTAATTTCAGTTCAGTGGTATCTCTCAGAGATACTATTTCCTGTCAATGACTTTTAAAAATGCAGAAGTACTGTAATAAATTTGCTTCAGAAATACAATTTCAGTATCACTGATAGGATATAGGCATCTCTGGAGATCTCAGAATCCCAAAGTAGAAAAAAAAATCAGCACAAAGAGCCCTTGGATATATCATTCAGTAATTAACACCCATCCCATTTTGGAAAACATGACAGACAACTGAAAATTCTGTGTCAGACTTGGTGTGTATTTGTTCCACAGATAAACTTCACAGGAAAGATTTTTGTAAAACATTAGTGTGACTGTGAATCTGTTTCCTTTGTTCTTGTGCTAATTAAGGTGTTTTTTTCCTCAAAAGCAACTCAGAAAACACAGATGAGATATTTTTCTTATATTTGTAAATTAGTAAGGACTCTTCCAGAAAAAGTCTTAAAATAATAATAATTAAAAATTTGCAGACTTTTAATGTAACCTGAATTTCCTAAAATGTTTTCAGGAATATTTCAGTGATGGATTGATAACACTGTCTCATCATTACACCCTTTATACGTCATTATAGCACATAGCAAGAAACAAGCTACAAGCAAATCCCCCAGTCTGGCTCTCCTGGCTGTACACCAGCCCAAATTCTTCAGAAAAAGTGATGAGGGGTCCCCATCTCTCCAGGATCCAGTGAATAGGGTGCTCTCATTGGATGTGGCAACTTGGCCAGCTGCTCAAACAGGTAACACCTGTCATTCCAGAGCCTTCCATTTGCTGTAGAAGCCATATAATCACTAGTCTAGTTGTGCAAATGAAGGAAAGTATTTCAAGCACTAAATGCCGTTTTCCCAGGACACTTGCTGCAGAATTAGCTCCCTAAGCAAAGACACTCCTGCTAGGACAGACAGGACTGACACTCTGGTCTGTCTTTGATGCCAAAGCAGCACTGACAAACCCCTGTCTGGAAGCCTAATGAGTCCCCATGCAGGGTATAACTCTCTTCAAGACTCTAAATGAACCTCACAAATTTGACTTCTGGTCTTTCGGGCACTGTGGCAACACCTGTCACATCAGCATGAGTCCTGTGCTCAATGCCTTATAGGATACTTACTCACGTGCATGGCACACGTGTGTGCATGTGCATGCATGAGTTCTCATTTATTCAATCATTTATTTATGTACAAAAGTATATTCAATATAACTACATTATTAACCTGTTCTTTATGCATTATGAATAAGGCAAAAGTGCAAGGACAAGACTGTGAGCAGTGTTTCAACAGGTCAGCTTGAGTCCATTCCTCTGTAAGCATACATAAAATATATGATGGCATGCCATAAAAGCTTCAGAATTATTACTGAGAGGAGTTTGTCAGATGATCTGAATGGAGACTGAATAAACTGTGAAGGACATGCCCAGCTAGCAAAGGCAGCCAAAAGGCTCAGCGCTTCGTGCAGCAGGTGGTGCAGAAGAGTGCTTAAGAGGGGGACAGAAGCCCTGTACATGTGTTTGGCAATGGTGGTGACATGCCAAAAGGATGCCAGCACTCATGGGATCAACTTCTCTGGCACAGGGACCCAGAATGAGCTCACCCAGGAGGATGGAGGTCCACAGCTCTAAAGGGTGCCCAGTGCCTCCCTCTGTGCCAGGGCAGAGGAGGTCCTCACATGCAGCCTGTGTGCATGAAATAAGGCTCTGTGTCAACAGGGAAAGGAGTTGGGCTGCATGGCCTCAGGGATGATGAAAAAGAGGGGAAATGGTAGACTGGGATGATAAGCAAACAATTGCAGAGTGATGAGCACAGGATAGACTTTGCAATCAACAAACTGGGGCCATTGAGGCCCTGCTCAAACATATGCATGCAGATAGAGACATGGCAAGAGGACAGCTAAAAAAAATATGAACTATAAATTAACAGTGAGGTGAATTAAAAACTGTCTGAACTATCAGACTCAGATGGTTGTGACCAGCAGCACAAAGTCCAGCTGGAGGACAGTCACAGGGGATCAGTGCAGTTATGGTCTGAATGTTGGGAGGGAGTGCACTCTCAGCAAGTTTGCAGGCATTTGCTACAAAACTGGAACAAGTGATTGATATTCTAGATTAGTGTGCTGCCATCGAGGCATCCTTTGCAGGATGGCTAAATGGGCAAGGAGTTACTACCCATGCATAAACTGCAGACAATGGGAAATACTGACATGCTTACAAATAATGCAAACACACACACACACACACACACACACACACACACACTTTTTTTTGGCATTTTGGGCAGGCTAATTTCTTATCCTGAACTTGCACATTGTGTAAGAAAATGGAGCTCAAGCCTTCTTTGGTGTCATTGTGTCCAATGATAAATAAAAACATTTGCTAGCTATAATGAAAGATCAGAAAACAATAGGTTACAACAACTAATTACCTTCAGTGCTTCAGTCTTTTTTTTTTATTATTTTTGCTAAAATTACGTGATATTACAAGGTGCATTTTTGCATATTAAATGTTTTCTTGTTCAACTAGGGTTTCCAGTTAATGTCCCACACAGAGATGAGAAGAAAAAAAAAAGTCCTCATGTAATTTTTAAAGAATACTAAGCAATCCAGTCTCACTTTAAAGGGTTTTTCTCACCAACTAAGAATGTATTCATTTTTGGGTCAGCTTGTCTGCAGCTGTAGGCTTTTAATATTTCAGCTGAGTTCACCAGGCAATGTGTTACTACAGTCTTTGCAATTACCAGGAGGAATGCAGGAACCGTCAAAGCATCTGTTTTCCAGCACTTGCATACATAAAGGCTTTCTAAAAACCACAGGTACCTGAAGCCCTGAACTCCTACTGCAGTACCAAGGATAGGGAAGCAGAGACCATGGTTTTCTTCCCTCTTTGTGTCCCATTTACTGTTTGCGATTTCATCTCTTATGCAGTGCTTTTCTCCTCTTTTTTCCATTGTATTAACCTGCTTTTAAAGCTAGGAACTTGCTAAACCTGATTTTCATCTGGAGCCTTTCTGGCTCTGATGTAACATTTGAAGATTTTTGACCATGATTTTGAAACCCTGCTGTGACCCTACTCTTCCTGCTGTGGAAGGGATGATTCAGAAAGAACTGGAAAGCTTCTACCTGGTCAGGTCTGCGCCCACAGTCTCTGTGTGATGTCAGGGTAGTGGTTGTAAGTGGGGAGCTTCAGTATAAGAAGCCACAGTAAAACAAGACTATCTGGGGATGAAATAAAAAAGTGAATACTTAAAAACTTCCCGGAAAAGGGAGTCCTATGAGATTACAGAACAAAAAGACAGCAGAAGGATGAAGAAAAAAATGCCTGTGGAGACAGGCACAAAAGTGCCTGTGGTGACACATTTTAAGGAGGAAGAGAGATATGAGTGGGAACCAACAAAAAGAATTATTCCCATCTGCCTTTCATCTGGTGGTGAAAAAAAGATCCATGATTTACTCCTAGGCACATTGTCAGATGAAAAGTAACTGAGAATTAGAAGAGAAAATCATGGCAGATTTACAACATAGTTATTGGAAAACCCAACTAAACCTGCAAAGAGCCATGGGGTAACAGTGAAGGACAGCCATTGCTGACAGTAGCTAGATTTACTTCTGATATGATGTAGAGAGAAACGCTTCTTGGTCCTGAGCACAAGACAGATTTTTTTACTTCCTTGTGCCCTGTGGTGTGTCTCAGTGGAAGAATGTAGAATTGTTTCACAGACATTTAAATGAAGATCTAAAACTTGCAGAGAATATTCTTTCAAAATAGCAAAAAGTTGTAAAAGATCAAGGAAATCTTAAAAAGCTTTGGAGTAAAAAGTGTAGTTTTAATTCCTTATGATGCCAATAATTTGTTCTGTAATTACAGCTGATGCAGTAATAAAGGTAAATTATAGTTAGCTAAATTAACTAGAATGCAAATTGTCTCCTTAAATCACACAAAGACAACCTTTTGCACATGGCAAAATCCTGGCATGTTCATTAGTAGTCCTGTCATTTGTGCTGATTTCCCAAAAATGTACCAGCCTAATTTGGTTTGGGTTTGTTTTTAGATGCAAATATAAAAACAATGGATCCAGACTCTGGTCATTCATACTGAGGCTTCACTTGTTTTATGCCACTTTCTATAGGACATTCAGGAAATCTGGGAGGAGACCAACCCTTTCTTGTTTCAGGGTTAATACTCCTGGTCCAATCTGCCCACATGAACAGGCACAGAAAGGCTTTCCTCTGCCCCAGCAATGTCTGGGCCCAGCAGGGCCATCTTTGTGTGGTCATGGGAAATATGGATTCCCAACCCAACTCTTCAGCCTCCTTCCAGCTCTTTAACCTCAAACATTCACTGCACCACCCCAAGCAAGGCCACAGGGGTCTTGCCACTCTTGGTATTGCCTTGCTAGACAACCCATCACAAAATGTGGAGATCTCAGATCCTTGGGGCTGCTTTCTTTCCTAAGAGTGAACATAGCTTCTGCTTGTTCACATGCACACCAATGCCTTTCTGTGCATATTCCACGGCTGGTTGTTAAGTTAAGGGGCTAGCTAAATACTTTTTCACTTCTGATTTTTGGCAAAGAGTGTGGTGAATAGGGATACACCACGTAGAAGATTAGGAACTGTGGACTGTTGGAAGCTCTATGCATGACACATCTGTGTAAAGGCTGTCTTTGTGTGTGAGAATATGTCCATCTCTCTTCCTCTCATTCTCTCTCTCTTTCTATCTGTCTAACTATCTTTACCTGTATCAATTATCTGTATTTTCCTTTAATTTCTCCTCAAGTATAGTGTGATCAGCCCCCAGTTACAGCTGACATGCAAAGACCAAATATTCTTGAATTAAACCTGAGACCAGCCTGTTGCAAAGAACTCTCATCTTGCTTTTCAGAAGAAATAAACTGAATGTGACAGGAACTCACAGGGGTAGAAAACTTTCAGTTGGTCTGGTAGGTATTAACCACCTCAGTACCCCAGGATAATGAAACTCCATTAAACACAATGAAATTCTAGAAGCCTCTAGGATTATGTGAGCTGCCTCCTACAAAGCAGATTTGTACTCTCCCTGACCGCTGAAAGGTGGTAGAAAAACTACTGTCTGCTGCTAATGGAAATTATCAACACCTACTTCAAAGAAGCTAGTTTGTCAGGCTCCCTGAAAACAGCCATAATTTCAAAAACAATAAGGAAGTTAGAAAAGCCAAGTCACCCATTTCCGTATCTCCAGTCTGGGGAAATTGATGGGAGGCAGAGAATGAAAAGCATGTGACGTCTGCCATCATGCTTTGTAACTGGGCTGAACTGGTCTGCAAGATACTATAATATTACTTGGGCCATCCTAAAGCTCCTATTGTTTGACTCTGCAGCTCCAGAACCACAGAAGATGAGTTATAGAGTCACTACAGCTGAAGTGTAGTTTCAATTATAACTTCTTAAAAGCCAGCGATTCATGGTAGACAATAGTCTTTCTAGCCCAAATGCTCTTTTTTACATATTTTCAAAATATAAGGATAATATTTGGGATTGTGATGCAATGTAATGTCAGGCCCACAGAAGGCTGATGATGCTCTGGTACAACCAGAAACATCCGAAGATTGCTTTCTCTCTTGAAGGAATCTGCATCTGGAGGAAAAGCCACTGACTCAGACTATTCATGCCAGATTTAAATAATGCTACTTGGAAGAAAAGAATTAACTAGCTGAAATACCAGACTCCTCTATTTATAATAGAGACTGGATATATTTATAATATAAAAGCTGGGTAGAAGCAGATGCATTTGACATTTGTATGGACAATTGATGTTAATGGTGCAAAATGCCTTATTTTAATCACCAGCAGTGAAATTAATCTCATCTAGTTCAAACTGACTTAAAATAAAGTTGTGAGTTCAGCTAATCATCTAGACTCCTTCTGTATTCTGTGGAGACTTACTGACATTTATGAAAGGTGACCCATCCTACCCTGGGTATTTGGTAGCAGTTGGAATAATCACTCTTTAGAGGTGTCTGTCCTCTCTTGGCTCTAGCAGGAAGCTAAGTGCTAGTTTAGGCCAAATGATTAGCATTTAATTGGTAGGCAAGATTAATCCCAGTTCATTTTAAAAATTCCCTGGCCACAACATGCTTAATCCCGTCCCATGAATTCTGTAACATACTCTACTACTGCCCAGAGGTGAAAATGAAGTGTGTTTCAATCTTTAGACCACAGAGACAAATTTCCTCCTTGTGCTAAATTGCTGGGGTCACATTAATCCTTTATCTCAACTTTTCCTGGATTCCAGTTTGTGGTCATGATTAGTTTGAAAAACAGATTTTACTTTTCAGTGGTGACAATGAGCTGGGTCTTACAGAAACATAAAGATATCCCAGGCAAAGGCCCTAAGGGACAGGAGACTTTTTTTCTTTCTGGGGTTCTGTTACTTAGGGGGTTCATGTGGAGGAGAGTGCTGAATTTTCTGTGTTTTTCAGAGCATAAGACTGAACCTCAGACATTTAAGGCCATGACCTATCTTGCAGGATAAAGATTAAAATTTATGCTAGATTGAGAAATTTTAAAATGATGAAACAAGTCAGATGCCTGATCAAGAATATAATATGAAAATGGGTACATATCACTTACCTTCTATCTCTAACCATTTCTTCCTTCCACTCTTCCTTTTAATTTTCAGCTTCAGTATTTTTGACTGATTTTAATTCAGCCCAGTGTATATTAACAACAGTTTTTGCCTCCCAAATTCTGCTTCCAGTGAGAATCCAATTTGATCACGGTAAGAAAATGTATTTTTCCACAGTGATACATTAGATTGAAATTGTGTAGTACTGAGTTTGGATCACAATTCTTCCTCATCTTTTTGTGTAATCTGGTGTTTCCTACCATCATTGTGCAGCACTGAGAGAAGTGAATCACAGACCCTTCCTAGGGGAGAGTCATATAACTCAGGTTTTAGGTTTCTATTACTGAGCTTTATAACACAAGTAAGGTAAGAATTTATTGCTGTCCTGATATGCAGGAACAAAATCTTGCCTCTTAATGAAACTATTAAACATTCTGGATTTTTCCCACGTAAGAGATCAAACTTACAACGTTACCCAAATTTCCCTGCCACTACTAGGCAGCATTTAATATCATTGTACAGAATCATATGGTTTGTCCATATATTTTATAATCCTGGAAGATACTGTGTCTGGAAAGTGGGTTTATTGCAATTCAATACAACCTAGATATTACTATCAAAGATTAAACATCACTCTATCAACAGTGCTTGTTAGCGAAAAACACCTGGTGTCTCTGCAGCAAAGGTTATTATATTTCCCTCTCACAGTAGAGGTTTTTCAATCTTAACAATGGACTAGCCTTTTATAGCTGAGATTAAACCCAAGAATATGACAAGCAGAGCAAAGTGTTCCTCTCTTTATTCAATTATCTGATGATTTAAACAGGAGGGGATAAAAGATAATCCTCCCGAAAAGTTTCTTTTATTTTCCCAAGCAATCATATATACAATGCCACATTTTAAACACACTATTTTTCTAAGAAATTTTCCATTTTATTTTTTTCCCAAGTATACCTATCTCTCAAAAAGGAAATTTTTGATTTGTCCAAATCTTGGATTGTGTATTTTTATATGGATTTGAAACTGGATTAATTGAAAGTGGAATTAAAGTAAGATTGATTTTTCAAAACCTTTATTCAGTTACATCAATTGCTGGAACAATACAAAAACCTCTCTATCTACTGAAATCTTTAAAACCACCTCCATCTGACCTGGAGACACTGAAAAAAAAATAAGAGGAGCCTTCCGTAATTTAAACAGCTTCACGGTGAAAATTGTGATATTCTTAGTTTCCAGAACACATTGAAGATTGCTTGTCCTGTTCTAGGTGTTCATTGATCAGGAATCATGGCATTCAGATGCCTTTCCAGTTTTTGATATTAAGTTAATATTGATTCTCAAAAAAACACTGAGTAATTTATGAACTTTTGGAAGTATTTTTCTTTAGCATTTTCTTTTTTTTTTATTTTTTAAAGCATTAAAAAACCCCTATAAATCTCCAAAACAGATGGGAAGTTGGATTGAATTCATTGATATATAACTCTGGAAAAAATGTGAGTCTACAAATTTGTGGCTTTTTTAAAAGTAGCATATTTGGAAAAAGTTGTTAAGTCTGGTTGCCAGGACACTTTAGAAAATGTTTTTTTTTCAAATCCATATTACGAAGACTTAGCTTGTGTTTCACTTCCATCAATGGATGGGATGTTAATTGAGTGGAGTGTGGATGCACGTATGGATAAAGACCCACACTCTGGGAATGCCATCTGTAAGCCCACCTCAGCTAGAAAGGGTATGGCTTTGCTAGCATGGGAGTTATGTTGTAATAAAGCAAAAGCAATTCACTTCTTCCACTTTGCCTCCTAACGTTATACATTAACTTAGGAAAGTCCAGTGTTAACACAGTTCTACAGATTCCAGATCATAAGTGGCTTGTATACGGGCAGCTTAAAAACCAGACATTTGCCAAAGTGGACATACCTAAAAGAGAACAAAATTATGTGTGTAATGGGTCTTTTTCACATGGATGGTCTCCCTGCTAATGCTGAAAGTGGCATGCTGGCATCGTTAATTTTGGTCCCCACACGAGCACGGCACGTGGGAGACAAGCCCCAGCACTGTGAGCTGTCAGAGTGGGAGCCTGGGGCTGGTGCTGTGCTGGCGGTGCTGCTGCTGCAGAGCCAAAGGGCCTGCTGTGGAAGAAGAGTCTGCCCTCAGGATTATCCAGGCTGTAAGCAGATGGGACAGACAGACAGACAGAGATCTGGCAGCTGCATCCTGAGCACATATGATGGCTCTGTCAGGGATGTGGAAAGGACACTCTTGTTTTTCTCAGGCAGAACACTTGGTCCCTCAGTGAATGCAAATCCATCTACCCCTCTGCAACCTGTGTAGAGGGAAGCAGCATGGAGGCAGCACCAATCCTCTGTGCACCTCCAGCCACTGCAGTAAGAGAGAGAGATCTGGCCTTAAAGGAGTAAGACACATGAACAGGAGGAATTCGTGCCTTCTGCTGTGTATGTCTTTAAGTATGATAAAAGGTGCCTATTACCTTCTTCTGTGCAAGTAAAAATAACTTCAGCTGACTCTTTCATTTTCCTTATGCATATTCTTTCCTGATTCTAAGATTCCCCATTTGCATCACAGTGCTATCCTAATTCTCAATGGTATGGGAATTTTTTTCACATGTTCTCTTTTCTTCCAGATTAAGCTAGTAAATTGTTGTATCCACTGAGGACTTCTCTAAACTCAGACCAGTATGTGAATCCCTTTTCTTTGCTTCCTGTTTTTTTCAAAACTTGAGAGAGCACCAGTAATCAGAGATTAAAATTACAAAATTAAGGTCAATTAATTTAGGTCAACCAAGGAATGGCCCAGTTGTTAAATTTGGGCCATTTCATGTGTCTAGAGTACCTTACCTGCTGCTCCAGAGAAGCCATGTCTCCTATAGATTCCGTGGCACATCTGCCAGACCCTGCAGATACCTCCTATACCCTCAGGTTTCTCAAAGGCACTAGATGCTGATGCTTAGGCACCAGTCACACATGTGGGCATTTAGGTGTCTTAATTTCCAACCAAACATCACATAGAATATCTATTTCCTCTTTCATCTGCTCTGAAATTTTGTGGTTTGTTTTTGTTTTTTTTTCTTTTTGTTGGGGGTTTTGTGTGTGTATGTGTGTGTTTTACACTGCATATAAAGGTGGAGAAAGAATTTATTACTTTTTGGAAAATGAATCACATAATTCTTTTAGAATAACAGTCATAATTGTCAGCCTTTTATGTGCCTTTTAGTGTAAAATAACCTGGCAGGCATCTAGAAAACAGCTTCAAAATGAGTAGAGGTTATTATGCATTTGACAAGAGCAAATATATCTGGCAAGTCCTATTTCCTTCTACAGCAGGGTGACCAGATCTGGGAAGAGACAACGGACACCATTTGTCACATAATTATTACTCAGTGAATCTTCTGGCACTGTCAGCTGTGGCAATCTTACAAACAAACAAGGGAAATGTTACCAGACTGAAATTACCAAAGGTAGGTATAAGAGTTAGAAAACCTGCTTCAAGAGTAGTTATCATTAGCTACGTTGTCCCAATAGTCACACTAATAGGTATTTGTCAGAGGAAGAAAAGGTCCATCTCAGGCTGAACACTTTTTGGTTAGCTCCCAGACACCCCAAAGAGGTGGAACAGAGGATATGTTTATTACATTTGCAGCTGACACAAAGCCAGACTAAATTCACTGCAGCACAGGACTGAACACAAACACGATCCTGACAAGGTGGGATTAAAACCACACATGCTCCTGACAAGGTGAAGACAGACTGGAGGTAGCTCTCATGAAGAGTCCACAGGGGTTACAGTGACTGTGATGGGTATGTTGTTCAACTTTGACATGTTTTCATGAGAAAGGCAAGTCTAAATTTGAGTTTGAAAACTTCAAAGATGATTATTTTTATTCCTTTACTCCAAACAACTGATAAAGTCTTGCACTGAATTTTATATCTATTTTTTGGCACTGCCTTTGTAGTAAAAGCAATGTAGGATCAATTGAAAAGAATCCACAGGGAAACGATACAAATGAAAAATCTCAAAAAAGGTGATTTATAGGAAAGGACTGAATCAATTAGGGACTTTAAGCCTACAACAAGAGAAAAAAAAAATAAATGGCATGTGGTATCAGTCTTCAAGCACAGCAAGCAGGACATTGTTACCTGCTGTATTTGGAGGGTTATGGCTCTTGGTGTCAGAATTACCTTCAGTTAAGGTCATTCAGTAGACCCATGTCTACTCCAGCTGAACCCCATTACTGGTGTTAATATGCCACTCTGCCATAGTGCGGTTCAACACATACTCTGAGGAGAGCAAGGATGCTATAGTCAGCATTTCTAGAATTTGGGGGCTGGCTTAGCCCTTCTCGGAGAGCTGATGGGACAGCAGCATGGGACTGCAATAGTTGTAGGCTATCCAAGAGTTTCCCTTACTAAAGTGATTATAAAACATGCTAATTCAAGGAACAATTAACTACATATCATGCCATGCCTCTGCCAGGAGAAAAGTGCAGAATTTATAAATCTTGTATCATAGTTGGCTCATGCACTTTACATATTTTTTGGGTTTCAGCAATAAAAGGTGAATAAAGAGGTGTGATTTTTCTAGTGTGAGCTTGATGAGCAGTTCTGAGCAAGTGTAGATGAGCATTTCTGAGGCAAGGCTCTGGGAATGTAATGGAAAGTTGTCTTATAGTGAAAAGTGATTCTTTTTTAATATGGCTAATAGGAATTTATGACTCAGAGATAATCCCAGAACTATTTTGATTCAGAGGGAAAGAAAAAAATCCTCTGAACTTTGCTTCACTTATCTTTCCCACAGATCATTAATCCAGTAAAATCCCTCTTTGTTCTCTCCTTACCTGTGCACCTCTCTAAATTTAGCTTTGTTGTTATTACCCTTGACTTCAGTAGTTCTACACCACAAAATGAATTTGCTCCAGAACTGTTTCAGTTCTTAATGAAATTACATGGTGGCAGAAAGCTTGTTTGAGCAGCAAAGACTGGCTTTGTTTCAGGGAATCACCTTGATGTAATGTGTTACCTCGGTCAGTAAAAATAAGGGAAACCTACCCACTGGTTGGCCTGTTGTTTTTCCTCACTACAGCTTCTACTGTTTTCCTCAAGGCTAGCCCTGGGATAAGTTTCTGGAAAGCTGCCTCCAGCTGCATATGCCCTGTGATTTCGCTTCAATGGGAATTCCTTAGTGAGGCAGTGATTCATGAGCATATTATTAGTCAGTTGACCACTATCTTAAATTTGAATTAGATAAAGTTCAATTACCACCCTTGCTTTTCTTAAGATTGATTCTGTTCAAAATAAAATCATTACTGAAAGTCACAGGCTTACTTTAGTAGAAATTAAGAGGTAGAGTTAACATTCTTTATTACAAAAATCAAGACACATTCGTACAATCCAAAACTTGCTAATAAATTGTTATTTCTTTTCATATCCACAATTTCCTTAGCCTGGTAAAAGAAAACCACTGACAGATGGCCAAAGCACCGTCTTTTATAACTCAAATAATCTAGATTACACATTCATTTATATATATCCCACAATACATCTGCATTATCTCATTCCAATAACTAAATATCAGTTCACTTACATTTACATAAATTCTATATTTTAACACCATTCAGAGCACAATAACCTTACAAAGATTTTGTCAAAATCCTTTTGGATTACAGCGGCTGTGGTTACATTTCATCAACATCCTTGACAGTGACACCTCACCAATGCCTCGGCAAAACTTCCTCATCATCCAGCATCAAACATCTTCACTACCCTTCAGACACATTCCATTCCAAAAATTCAACACAAAACCATCTGCTGTTACTTTTAACCACTTAATCAGTGCCTGTTTCCATGAAAAAGGCAAATCACCCCTACATTTCCCTCATCAATCCACCAAGCTCCCAAACCTAGAGGCCTCAGTACCACCTATTTACATCATCTGCTAAAAATCTTGGTAGAACCAACTAGAGGCAGAAAAAAGTGTTTTCATGTTCCCACTGTGCTGTTGGAGAAATACCTAAGGATGTAAGGCCTTGTTTGCATTTAAATCAAGATTGTAAGCTGACTGAGCTTTAGACAGCAGAAATGAAGGAATATTTTGTTTAAATAATGAAAATTAAGAAAAGTAATGAATCATGCTGCTACTATGAAAATAAGCCACATAAGTAACTATGAAAATAAGTTACAGTTTAAAAGCTGTCTCCATTTCAATAATCATTGATGTTACAAATCCAAAAATAAATAGACTCATTTTAAAAAACTTTTTCATGTTGTGCTGTTTCCTGTTCCCATTTCCTTCTTTCTTGACTTGTATTTCAATTCTATTTTTTTCTGTTGCTGCTTTCAAGACCAAGACCCTGAGCAGGATGGGCCAGTGCAGTTTCATAAGCTATTCCCATACTCTCTGCAAATAGAAATCCTCAGACTAGTCCCTCCAAAGCACATCAGGCTATTTCAATCCTGTCCACAATGCACCTTTCACCATGACTTGAACCCTCATTAAATCCCTCTTGGCCAAGCCTTTTACAAAATATTTGCCTAGTCTGAGTGATTATCTGTCCATTTTCCTTAGTGGACCTTCCTGGATTGCTAATCCCTTTCCCATCAGAAAGTGCTTCCTGTAGAAACTCTCACTTTTTATTTGAGAAATTCTTTTTCCATCAGCTTGAAGAGCATCAACAACCTTCACTATAACATTTCTCCAGCCTGAGTAATTTCCTTCCTTTTTATGAAGAACAAACAGTTAACAATACTTTGCATGTGAAGGTTTTTTTCTGAAGGATGAATCATACTTCACCACAGCATTATTAGATAAATACTCACAATGCTTAGAAATAGATGAAAAGAAACCTCTGAAAGTAACTTATACAGTGTAGAGAGGTGAGTTTAAGTTAAAACCCTGGAAAAGGGGATATTTACATCCATCTACAGAATATTTTTCCCTCACTCCCCATTAAGATTTTCTGGATGGTAACCATTCAAAAGAATCTGCCATGAATATCAAAAGGACTTTCAGTTAGCCTTCAGAGAACCAGTCCTAATTCTTTTGCAGAAGATGCAAATAAATATCGAAGTAAAATAAGTACTTTCGACCTCATCATCTGACTTATATATTAAAAAGCCATCACTTTTCAGCTATCTCTTATACATTTATTTGGCTACTTTTCTGTTAGAGGACAATTTTGCTGAGAAGCTCTTGATCCCATAAAAAACCTCCATTTGGAAAAGGCACTATGCATTTAATACTTGTACTTGGTCTCATCATCATGGCTAGGTTTCGCGAACGAAGATTTGAGAGGGGTTCTACCCACGCTTGCTACACTTGCTACAAGCACGTTGAAGTAGTTGGTCTATCATAGCAACAAATGCTTACTGCTGTGAGGAATGAATGATGAAGTCATGTCAACTGGTATCTAGCTATTCTAGCTTTGGTACAATCTTAGAGTTTAGTGTTGAATTCACGAAATGCCGGAGGAGATCTGACTGTGAAATCTATTAAAACAAACCTTGCTAGTGGAGTCAGGTTCCTCCCGCAGAGGAGCCTGCTTAAAGCTTCATGGCATAACTGTCTTGCCACACAAGATGTGGAGTCAAGGGCCATCCTGTGCCTTTAATGTTCCTGCCATGAGAGATGTCAGGAAAGGATTAGAAATGGAGACCTTTGGGAGCTGGTTTGCCTTTCCTTCTACTTTTGGGGAAGCAGGAGACACTGGGCTAGTGGGAGCCCTTTTAGGGCAGGTTGTACCCACACACACCAACCAGTCCCTCAGCATGATTTGCAGAGCTTCTGAATTCCACAGATGGATAAAAGGTTATCAGGACTTAGGGCTACAGCATTTCTGTGTGCATGAGAACCAGCACAAGCACAGCTTTATAAAATATCCATAAAAATATTTTCCTGTCCATATACCAAATAGCAGCTTTGTAGCTGGATAGAATGACGTCTATTCCCACATGGACATAAAATTGACCACTTTTTTTTTTTTTTTTTAATGCTACATGTTTCTTCTGGCACACTTAAATACACGTGAAAGCATTCATAACTTGATGGTAGTTCAGCCTTGAAACTGGCTAATGGTTTATGCAGACTTCAAGACTGGTGAGAACTCTGTACTTGATCCTATGAAATTTCTTCATCCTGAGTGATTTCCAAGTAATCCAAGCAATGCTAATATGGAGCACTGATTTCATAAGAACAGAAAGACAAAGCACTCCTGTTTTATCAGCAGGAAACAACATTAGGATTCTAATAAGAAAGGATGGTTTGGCTACAATAGTTTGAATTATTATCAGTGAATAAATAACTTTTTTCTCCTCCAGTTAGTGTATGTAATTCAAATATTTATTCCAATTTCTTCAACTGTTCATGCATTTGTTAGAATTTACAGCATAACTCAGGGCATGTTCTTGATAATAGCATCTGCTAAATATATGCAATGTAGAATTCTATGACTCAACTGTTGGAAGAGAAACAGTAATTATCTGTTCTGAACTCAATTTACACCTGTTCTAGGTCTTACATTGTTCCTTACCTCTACGCTCTGTCGTAAGCGGCTGACATCATATCAGTAATGTTTATTTTAAAAGTAGTTTGACAAAAACTTGGTGGTTAAAAAAACTGCAGACATTTTCAACTCCAACTTTACCAAGTGTTCAAGGACCATGTGGATGTAAACTGATGGACAAACTGAGAGAGAGGTCACAGTCACTGGAAGAAATTAAAAGGATATGTTACTGATTGTATTCACTAATTTCTAATTCTGGGTTGGGACTACCACTGTTTGTAATCACTAGTTGTGATTCAGCCAAGTTTTTCCACCTCTTCCTACATGTACAAATATGGATGAGCTTATTTCATCCTCAGCTTGACCATCACTACTACTTGCATAAACAAGATGACAGAAATATAGATCAAATTACCCCCTGCTGGTGGGAGATGTTCTCACTGTGCAAGAAAACCTTCACACCAGCCACAGGGAGGACTTTATCCCAATTCCATAAGGAATTATGCTTCACGCTTCTCAAAAGAGACACAAACTTCTAGGTTGAGAACTACTTTAAAAAAAACAAACTACTTTAAAAAAAACAAAACCAAACCGAACCCTAAAAACTCCAAGGTGACATTAATGAGGTTGAATATATATATTGTTATTAAAGGGAACTTGTTCCATGGTTATCCTAAAATAACCTGCTAATTCTCTGATTGTGCTCCTTAATCAGATCTGATAACACTGTTTTAATTAGAGAACAATGCTATTAAGCCCAGAATAATGAAAGCAAATAATTGAGTAATTGTAGAAGAGTGACAGATTTATCTGCATTCCTTCTTTAATTTCTATTTCAAATATATCCTCAACTTTTAAGCTTGCATATTGTTTTTGACTTCTCATTTAATTTCCTGTGCACCTCATGAAAAAGGCAATTTTCAAGGAAATAAAAAACAAAGCCCACTAGCTTGTTGCTATTCTAGCATTTAAAATCTAAAAATGAGATTGAAAAGAGAAAAGGAAACTAAAGAAATAGGAGGATAACAGAGAAACATTTTCAAATGGAATCATCTGTTTCCCAAGTAAAATAAAAATGAGGATGAAATAAAAAATTGCTATTGAAAACTTTCCCATGGTTTATGTAGCAGGTATCTGTCATCTGTCAAATGTTTCAGTGATCTAAACAGCTATAGCTTTTTTTTTTTCCTGTTCAATGTTATTCTAAACACAAAGCCTCCATTTGCTGCCTTTTAAAGGCTAAACTATTCTCTGAATTCATGAATTTTCAGGAATACTCCTAATTACAGTATGTCTGTGTGTATTAACATGAAATGAAGTGATATTTCTCGAGAGGAAAATTTCCATGCATTCAAATAACTATATATAAATTAGGGCAAACAGTTAAAGGAAGCAGACTTCTAAACTTCTTTAGTTATTATACATTTTTAAATGGAAGTCTAAGAACAATAGTCTTATGTTGGAACATTATATCATAACTTATGTATTTGCTACTCTCATGATTTTTATAAAAGTAACATAGCACTTGCTAAGAGAATTGTTCTCACCCTGTTAGGAGGAAACAGCAAAGCATTGCCTGAACAATTCACACAAGAAGAATGTTATTGAGCCATACATTTTAAAAGAACCAGACATTTTAAAACACACCTGTGTTGGCCTTGGGAAACAGCTCATGAGTAACTGCAGTTTTGCTAGCAGCTAATGTGCTTTCTCCAAAGACATGATTTAATGGGAATGTTGAGCTGTTCTCACAGGGACTTCTGCTTCACTTGGGTTTGACCTGTTGGAAACTGAAGATTCATGGGCTTGTACCTACCTCTGTGTAAATCAGGACTATCTCCTTTGAAGTTAGCAGATGTAAAAATCTGAGCGAATAAAGGTGGATCAAGGCCCGGGGCTGTCATCCCTGCCCTGCTGCTTTTATTCAGGTTAGGACTTCAAACATAATTGTAATATATTTTTTTTTCCTGTCATTTGGGAATGTGGATTGAGGCTGAGCTGGAGCAGAAGGATGAATAGGTGCAGGCTTGCTTTGTGGAGCTGCAGCATGGTGCCAAGGCAAGTAGTGGTGGCAGGTTCCCAGCTGCCCTATCACTCTGGGTGATCTCTCTCAGCACTGCTCCTTTTTTGCTTACTTCATTCCTCTTTCAGGGAGTAGTAATAATGACATTGTTATCACACTGTAGTAAAAGACTTCATGACTTCCTAATACATTGACATGCTTCTTGACCAGAACTGCCTCAATGCTGATGGTTTACAAGCCCTTATCTTTCCTGTATCATCCTTCGTGAAATATATGTGTCTTTCACCTTCATCTGGTATCAGGAGGTGATGTTGCAAAGGTTATGGTTGCAGATGAAGTGTTCAGCAACCTGCCAGAGGCACGTGACATGGCAGTGCTTGTTAAAATAAGTAACATGATGAAAGATTATATTATTTAGTCTTATTAACGTGGTCTGCACTTGAATCAGAAAACCAATTAAAAAAATTAAAGAAGCAGAATATTCCACTCAAAGAGTGGAGTTAATGCAAAAGCCTACCTCAGAAGAAAACACTTGCACCTGCACTGTTCAACTCCCACACAAGTGACAAATCAGTCTGTTCTGGCACAGAGATTTGATTTATGTAGACAGATTCCTTAAGGCTCACACTCCAAACCAAGAGTCTCATCCATACTGAAACATTGTTAACATCATTGCCCTTTAGTGTCCTATTTTTTTTATATGAAAATCAAGTACTAAAGCAAAGTTTAGAATGTAAAGAGAGTTTCTTTCATTTCAGGAAGCACAATAAATACAAATAGCTCAGCATAATCAAAAACACACATCAGCACCTAGGAGTGAGCAGGACTTTCCTTTAATGTTCAGAAGACAAAAACACTGTGCTAATTTCTATATGGGCAACCAACTCAGTAGCACAGGAAAATACTGCATTTTATGTCTTTATATCTCACTACACACTTCCACTACTAGAATGAGTATGTGAAAAGACATCAGAGATTGTATGACAACAAAATTACCAGCACATCAGTATATAAACAACCTATGCACATTTTTGTCTATCACCAGCTTCTCAAAGCTGCCCCACCAAAGGCTTTCAGGCCAGGTGTACCCTGAACAGTTACTGAGGTACTGCTGTGCACTGGTGTGAACTTCTTCAGTCCTAAACCAGAAATGAAGACAGTGTTTCCAACTAAAATGCATAGCACCAGTTTTGGTGACACCGATGAGAGCCAATAGCAGTCTTCATTTTGTTTTGGAGCATGGGCTTATCTGAAAATTGGGCTTTTGCAATTAAAAGCAGAATGTGGTGACTACTAGAAATCTGCTTTATCAGAATAATTAAGAAAGAAATACTTATACTGTGTGAGATATTAAATAATATTTTAATGAAATCTCCCACAGACTTTCATAATGCTATAAATACTGGCCATCTCAAAACAAACTGGTTAATGAGCTGACACTTTAATTTGTGCTGTCAATAGTGTCCTGTTGTGTTTTCTAACGTGCAGAGAATATAGTGTTTGCAATTAAGACATGGGATTAAAACAGATGATGCACACTGCTGTCTAGTGACCTACTATTGCTAATAATTAAGAACGTGCATGTATTTTCACCTGCATTTGCAGATTTCCTGCTTTTCACACTGTACCCAGACCTGAGGGATTTTTATGCTTCCTACCCTTGGGACCCACTGCTCAGTGGGAGTCTCTTTGCTGAGCAGTTGAAAAATGGGACACTCAAAACAGACAAAGAATAAATTCATGGCAGAAAATGCAGCAACTTTATTGGTCTCTGAGAGCCAGCAATGGGAAACCACAGTGGGCTGAAGACAGTCTACTAAATAATTTATGGTACACAGCCCGTTTGTGTAATTTTTTCCCTATTAGATGTCCATTAACAGATGGAAGTCTAACACGTGGAAAATCTTATCTGACCTCAGAGAAACAAGTCCCCCACCCTTCCATTACCTCAAGCTGAAGACTACCCTGAGCTGCTACTGTCTTCTAAAGAGATTGTGCTATTGTTTGCTCTAACTCTGCTGAATCCCAGCTTGGATTTTAAATACACCTTTGAAACAATCATTATACCAACACAGGCTTTATCTACCACATTCATTGTTTGCATTTCAGCAGACTATTCCTCAAAAACCTTCCTTTGTTAAACACAGCATTATACAATGTTACCTCATTCCTAGTCACAAGACTTTCAAAAATAAGGGAAAAACCCTCATCTAAGACTGCATGCTACATTAAAGTACTGTGTTTTATTTTTACACAAGGATTATCGTTCCCCCAGATTTCAATTCATTCCTATGGACCATGCAAAATGCCACAGACCACAGAAGCTACATTTTCAAATGGAAGTTTTTATTGATTAATCAGGTATTGAATCAAGTATTGCAAAATAAACAGATTTTGTTTGTTAAAAAATGTCCAGAAGAATACCATTCATAGCAAACTTGTTTCCTCATCATCATACAGAATACGAAATTGTTCAAGAAACAAGTAAAAAAGAAATACCTAACTAACTGCTGTCACTTTGTCTGTGTATATACATATGTATGCATATACACCATATTTGTGCATATACTGGTGTGTATATCCATACATATGTGTATATATATACACAAACATATATGCACAAAGAGTACTGACTGAGATAATAGGCTATTGGAGAAATGTGGCTTAGCTCCAAATGAAATGTTCTGTGTTAAAATAAAAATGATACTGCAAGGCCTGTAGATAACAGACCACTCTTCTTCCATTGGCCAAAACCATGACCTGTCTTTAGAGTCACAGTCTATCTTTACAATGAAAACACGTGAGATCATTTGGGACCTTTTCAAATTCATGGTATTGCTTCCATCCAGTTCAGTCTCTGTGAACATTGTATAGCTAAACACTGAAGAGTGTTTTCAGTTTATGCACCTCTGAAATCAGCTTCTAGATTTAATATTTGTGGCAAAAAAAAAAGATACATACTCTTGCTACGTGTAATTTGCTAATATGCCTTTTCCTTTTAGGCAGAAATTTGGCAATAAGCCTAGATTAAAACTCCTTTCTTCATGCATCTTTTTATCACTGCTTTGCATCAGTCATCTCCTGTCAACTCATTTTATAAAAATTTTCATGCCATCTCAGCTACCTCCCAAACAGCCCAGGTCAGATACTCTGGGCAGTGTATATCATATTGTATCAGTAAGATTGTATCCAATTAAAAATGTAATGTTTGGGGACTTATTTACTTTTTCAATTTTGAGGATACACATTTCTTGATTATTAAAGACAGTATGATAAATGCTACAGTTCACTATATGTACACATTTTTTCTTATTTATGCCTACTCTGGAAAGATCAGTGGCTCCTACCTGTGAAAAATGGGATGCTGCCCAGCTGAAAGCCATGGTACCAGCAATGTACCACCAGGTTTTTCTCTATTTAATTCAGCAGTTAACATGACACATAAAGGGAAATCAAAGGAACATGGACAGGCATTTATTTTCTACTAAAAAAGAGGAAAAAAACCAGATAGGCATGTACATATTCCTCATCCTGCTCATAAATTTTTTATATCATCAGAAGGCAAACTGTAATACAGTCTTTTACTGGGAGAATCAGTATTTTAAATATCTGAAGCTGAGCTTGGGACCATTTTATTTTTTGGAGCCATTAGTGAACAAAGTGCATTAAGGCATCTTTTCCAAAAGACACCAAAAGCATGATTATAAATTACTGAGCAAATCTTTTCTTAAAGCTGATATTCAATTTATCCTTTCTCTACACAGGTAGATTTTCACCACTTGCATAGTAACAACAAAACATTATAGGAAAACCACTCTTTTAAAATTGTCACATGCCTCAAGCATCTCCCAAAATGATAATTTATAAGCATTGCAGTAATTACAAAGGTTTTCTATTCTTTAGAAGGGAAACAGCAAAAAATGCACCTGATTCAGCTTTGAGATAAAGTACATACAACCTCTGTTGCCTTCACTGAAGCTCATCTACCAACACTAGGATGAACGTAGGGTCTGCCCATGCAGATTTCTACTGCTGCTGAAAGCTTGCTCCTTACTGCTCATTCACAAAGAGAACTGTGCTTTCCCAAACAACACAGGACAATAACTATGAGCAAACTCCAGCTGCAGTGTTTCTCCATACAGCACATGTAAAACAGACTTCCTTGCTTTGTTATAGACACTATACAGTGTATGACAGCGAAACATTTGTATTTAATTTAAAATCAATGGTAAAGTGGTGCAAGTCTCACTTCCAAGTTGTTGGCTAGGCTTGCTGTGTTGAACCTTGTAAAATCAGCAATAAGCATTCACATGTCTACCATCAGAACCATGACATCTTCTATTACAATCAATCCTTAAACGATGCTGTGCTTTATCAAATTAGTCTACAGTCAGACCTTGGATTAGCTGCACTCCTCCAGTGTTGCTGATTCTCAGAGATGGTATCAGTCTTCCACATCCTCAGTGACTCTATAATGTTTCCCACAGACGAAAGCAAAGCACTGGCAGATGGGAATGTTGCCATCAATAAAATAAATCACCAGATGATTTATCCACTCACATTTCTAGGAGATATTCCACATGTTTTTTATGAACTGAGAGAGCACTGCCCTGTGAACAGAAGTAAATTAGACTTTATTCTTTTGCTGTGGTGGCTGGCTCTCTTTTTAATTTCTGTTCTTTTGGTCTGCACACTCCCATGTGTGAAGTAGAAATTGGGAGATCTCACACTCAACAAGGCTGGCAATGAGACCACTAATGTTGGTACGAGTAAAACCTGCAGGATACTGACTTGTCCACTGCGCAGTTTTCATCCTTGAAATTTCCTGCTTTTATCCACTGTAAAATAAAATTATTCAAAAGACTGATGAAACTTTAATTAATAGGGCCACCAATATGTGCGGGGGAAAAAAAAAAGTAATTTTCCAGGTGTCCAAACCAGGCTTTCACTTCCTTTTTTTCTTTTTTTAACTTTTTTTTAAAATTTTTATAAATAATTTATAAATCTTCCTGTAAGAGACTAAATACAAAACCAACCAAACAAAACCAGCTGCAAAAGAAAGTTCTAAGATATTTTTAAAGCCACTTCTTGTTCTTCCTTACAAAGTACACAGAAAGAGATAATCTCTCCTTTTCAGTTTTGGCCAAATTTGGCAGCGTTGGCCAGGATGCCACATAGGTCCACCAGCTCCGGGCAAGCTCCTGCAGGCAGCTGCCTGGCCACCCTGGGAAGATGTGTCGTCCTACCTTTTGGCTTTTAGCAGTCACGCGAGCTGCTCGGAGGAGTCCAGGTGGTCAGGGATAGGCAGGCCAGTTATAATGGTCAAACACTTGTTCCACACTGTGAACGTGGGGCACACTGGCTGCCCAAAAGTAATGTCAAAAGTGTAAAGGTGTAGGGAGTTCAAAGCATCGTAAAAAGCAAGGGAACCGTTGTCATAGTCCAGCAAAATTCCGACCCGCCGGAGGTGAGGGGCAGGCTCGATGGGGATTTCTTTGCTGTTGTGCCGCACCACCCATGTGTTATTGCAGCGGCAAAGCACCCAGGAGGCAGAATTCTTTCCAATCCACTCGTGCTTCGGGGCTGACTTGTAGGAAATGCCAATAGCATACCTGCAAAATAAAAGAACATCCCAGGGAAACAAATGCTTCCTGCCATGTTTGTCTCTCTGTGAAGTCAAATGTTAGCCCAAGAGGACTCACAGGAATGCCTCTTCCTGCTGCTGGTTTAAATTCTGGTTAAGTGATGTTTCACCACAACATCCGCACAGGCTTAATTAATGTTTTCTTCATCTCTCTTTTGGGTCTGAGATCAGGGAAACTCATCGTATTGTTTCTAGTTTCACAGTTATGGTAATTTTTATGAGTGCTTACCTCTGGTATTCAAAAGGAAGATGGTTGAGTACTCAGCAACTCAGAGTTTAAATCGCTGGCCCGAAATTTCCGTTTCCAACAGATGAATGCAGAGGAATTAACTGATTTTAAAATATGCTACTATCTCTCAGCTAATCTGACCTCTCCTTGCTCCTTTAATATATGGCCCAGAAGAAGGCATGCAAGAGTAAACATCCAGGATACATTAAAAAAAAACCATGTTGCCATTTTCAAATAAGTTTTGCCAGATGCTGGTGTGGTTTTCAGATTTAAACGAGCATTTTTGGGACTGGGTTTCTGGCCAAGTGAAGCAATGTCAGTGAAGAGATTTGCTCTGGAAACCATAATTTATGGCAAGATGTGCAGGGTAAAAGGATTGTGAAAATGTTCTCATTAATGGACACTGAGGACAAATACCTGATTTGTCATATATAATAGAAATTTAAAAGTTCCTCACATTCTAGGGACACTGCAGTATTTGTTGGGCTTTCAACCAACAGAGATTAATGTGCCATAGGTTACTTTTTTTCCATTCCTTAGCACTGACACAAACAGCATTTTTCTTGTTTGAGACTGTGGGCAATACCTGAAGACCTTACTGATTTTTCCAATTCATTAACCTTCATCATGATGCCTTTGAATACCAAAGGATAACATCTCTTCCATTGACTAAAGGCCCCTGGAAATCCACCCCTATATGACACAGAGGATCATTCAGAAGGTGAGGAAAGTACTCTTCTATTTCCTTGCCCTTGCTTCGTAGCCTGGGGCACAGACCTACAGCTCTGATGCTCCACATCCCCTCCCCAGAAGCAAATCCGATCTCTGTCCCCGTGAAACTGGATCATCAAACTGTCCTCATTTTTATTTATTTTTTCTCACTGAAGGACATGTAAATCTTTCATATTTAGTAGAGAAATGATCGCATTTGCAAAGCTCACTCTCAAAATGTACTGTACATGGGTTCAAAAAAAAAAATCATTCCTGGACATGGAGTAAAAGTCCTGCAAAGGCTGCTAAATATAAAGATGTTTAATGTGACAGATTTAGTTCCAGAGTCTAAAAGTGCTGGAGATTGGGGAAATACTCTGACAAACTATGTGAAAATATATGCTTGGCCTGCTCTCATACTCTTCCTCATGCTTCTGCTACTGGTCTCTACCAGAGAAACTGTGCCAGCAACTGCGTGGTGTGAACTAGTGCTTCTTTTCACATATATTTTTATATACATACCACGTACTCCCGCTTATAACCACTTCCCAGTAATGCCGCCCGCTGTCAATGAACACATTGCCAGCTACTCCATAGCTCCCTTGGCTCGTGAATCGCTCTGGTGTGTGACTCTTTTTGGAGGATGTTTCATCACGTTCCACTGTCAAGTTATCATGAGACACTTTCAATTTTCTATGAGCAGATTTGGGGTCCAGTTTAAATGGTTGACCTAGACACAGGGAGACAAAGATGACACAATAATGGTTTGGCTTTGATTTTGAAAAGGAGGGTGGATTAGTGAGCCTCTAAGAAGCCTGCAAGATTACATAACCATATTAATTTCCTCCTCCCAAGCATTCTTGAGATAGACTAACCTATTCTGATCCCTGCAATAGCTAGTTTGCATTGCATTGTCAGTTTACTGTCAATTTCTTTGTGCACTAACTTCCCTGTGTCGATAATCCCTGAAAAGAGCCCTGCATAATCATCATGTCCTTTATCTCTGACCTAGAGGTAACCAGAATACTCTGATTCTTGCATGTAATTGAAACCAATATACATGCTAATAAAGGTCTGAGGGTTGCTTTTTTCACAGCATATTAGATTTAGAATAAATCATGTTCAATTAATTCTCTAGGGATAAGGCTCCACAATAACATCTTCATTATTCCTACAAAAAGTATGATTTCAAATCCCACAAAATGAATTTAAAAATAAAAAGAAGTACTAGCATTGTTTCTTCATTCATTCACTCACAGCTTTATTTATAACAAGCACAGTCAACAATTCAGAATTGCTTTGGAAGGATGCCTATGTAGTACTGGATACTGTGCATTAAAAAGAAGGAAGTGAACTGTAACTTGGTCCAAATAATATGGGTAATAACATTATTGAGGCTGTTGTTCTTGGCAAGTATCTTGGGCTGTAGCACAAGATTTGTAGACAATAACAGGAAGCTATTTGGTAAACTGAACCATGTAGATATATAAAGCCCACCACAATTCTGACAGGCTTGCTTATTGTGTTAGAAAGCAGAAAAATCATTTACCTCCACCAGGAGACAACTAGAAAAGTATGACTCCACAAGTAATCCAGCAAAGCACTTTCCCCTTCTTACTCTCTTTTATATCAAGGGGAAAAACATGTAATTGGAAGATTTGATGACATGCACAGAAAATGAAAACGAGCATTCTCATGAAGTCTGTGTGAGGCACTGGCACATGTACTTCAAGTAAGATGGAAATTGTTCAGGGTTATCTACTTATGCAATGTGTATTTAATTATGTATTATGACAAAATATAAAATAAACCCATTGGAAACTATTTGGGGACTATTTCTTACCACCTTTTAGTGGTAACATATGTATTGCCTGCCTCTCTGACCGGTTAGTAGCCTTTGTGTGCTGAAGTAGTATCTGAAGGATGTCTCTCTGTATTGAATTGTGCCTGGTCACATTGCACAGGTTAATAGCAGAAAGGGGGAAATCAGAAAGCTGTACATGCCATTCTCTTCGGTATTGTTCTTGTAACATTCAGTATTGCCCCTTTTCAAGCACCCCCCCTACAATATGCAGGTTTCAGAGGATGCATAAATCCCAGTGTTTCCTTTCCAGCCCTCAGAGCTGCCCATGATAACTACATGACTGAAGGGTTGGCTGGGACACAAGAAGAAAACAGCTGAAAACCAGTCTTAAAACTGTTATTCTACATCTGTTATTAATTTGTGTAACCATTGTTTTTTTGAAGTGGGATCTCTGACTACTCTACCACCTTGCTGAACTCCGTAAAAAACGGAGGTGGTTAAACCTAAGAAAGTTTTCCAATGTCCTAAAAAAGATATAATTTTGGGGGATAATATTAGACTATCAATTATCTTCTGAACATTACCCCAAAATAAAATGTTTTATTGCAAACATAAGAAAAGCTTTTACTTTGTAGAGGTAAAAGAATAGAGAGGATATTTAAACAAATTCACAAAAGAGTATTTTCAACCATCTGACCTGTGATGGCTCTGTTCCTATGTGATATTTCCAGTGACCAAACAACAGACACAGCTACTGAAGACTCTGGCAATCTTGAATTGAGTTAAAGAAGCAGCTTTCATTGTAGAAAGCACTTTAAACAAGTTAAACTGCTCTGTGCTCTTATATCTTCCAAAGATCAAACTTAAAAAGGAAGGCCAGAAAGAAGAATGCATGCATGGTGGATCTCACATTACTCACTGTTTGTCTTGAGCTTGCCAGGCTCGCTGCTCCTGCTGCCCGCCTGATTAATGGCCTTAACAATGAAGATATACTTAGTGCCACTCTGTAACCCGTGCACCGTGTAGTGGTTTTGTTTGATATTAGGAACAATCATCCAGCTGTCGGCTGAGTTGCATAAACCTGCAATTTCGAACAGAGCACGTCAGTCATAACACACTAAACACTTTGTAACAGAGGGACATTCCCAGGAACCCAATGACCAATATGAATTTTGCTTTTGTACCTTTTAAAGTGTTATTATATTTAGTGAGCCACTACTTAATGCCACTAACTCATTTCATCAACCCTCAGCCGTGGTACCTTTTAAGCTCCTGCTATGTGAAGTCAACCGTAAAAAATGGGCATTTAAGAAATGTCTCAGTGGAGACACTAGCAGTCTGAGATTTTTCATATCCCAGCACAAGGAATTCTTTATTGCTTAAGAGCTAGAGGATTATGGCAATCCCATCAATCTACTGTTTGGATTAATGAACTCAGTTTAAGCCTCAGAAAACTAACGTAAGCAGTAAGGCCAGGAGGGCTGGTGAGGCACCTCTGCTGACAGTCCCCAGGTATGCATTCTTCAGGACCTGAAGAAAACCATGGGAGGCCAAAGAGGGTAGAGTATGGGCTTCAGAGAAAGCTTTGGTTCTTATATGCCAGACTTTGTCAGAAGGTAATCTAAGTCAGTAAATTTGTTGGACACAACTTTTTGATTTATGTCCTTGTGCTGAGATGCCAGCTGGGAAAGATCTGGAAAATTTTACATTTATAAAACTTATTCGGTACAGTTGATGCCAACAGAAGTATAATATATAGGAAATAAGTAAAATAAGGGAGTAGCAATATCATAATCAAAACAGGAAAACACTACATTAAAATTAACTTATTAATTGACATACATTTTTCCTACTGTGGTATAACTGCATTGGCAGTCAGTGACCCATATTACTTACTCTAAATTTGGAGCAGCTCCTGGTCTAATGGATCCCCAGTCTTATAGTTCTCTTATTATAAATGATTACATAAATAAAAAATTTAACATTCATGAAGAGTATATATATTCACAACCTTTTATATGGCTATACAGCTAGGAAAAGATAGATGCAGATGGAAGTGTATTGTATGCATGTGCATACATAAGTAAGGCTGGAAAACTTAACAGAGAAATGCTTGACTGGATTAGGAACCTGATAGACTTCTTGGTCCCTGCCTTTACTGGGCATAGAATATGTTATGAAAGCTGTTGTTTTTATTTAAAGAGTTTCAGCTTTTAATTAATGTTTTACCATCAAACCAGTAAGTAATAAAGAGAACTCATTAGCAATTTCAGCTCTGCATATCGGACAATACAAATCAGACAATTTCTGTAAAATAAAATTTAAAAGGCTACTGAATAAAAAAATTGAATGAAACAGACCTGTGATACAGGTTTACAGACTCATAGACAATTCATAGCCATAATGTGAGACTCCTTCCTATTTTGGGATGTGTTCTTCGTAACAAAATACCATTAGAAACAGAATTCAAACTCCAAATTTCAATCTAAGAATTACAAAGCCTGTGTCTCGAAATTCTCTTACGTTACAAAGCATCCACAAGAGGCAGGCAGATATTCATCCTGAAGTGCAAATGGGTAACTGCAGGGCAGTTTCAAGTTGGATTCATATTGTCTTGTCACATAATGAAGAGCTACGATGCCTAAATTTTTTTTGGTGGACTCTGAGGAGTGGCAGAATTCAGTAACTTTTTCACTTTTTTCAGAATTCTTTCACTTTTCCAGGTGTGAACATCCTACCTTGTTCTCATGCTGGCTTGCTACACTACCTGCCACAAGTGCCTCTCTTTTCTTGACCACAGAAGAAGCCTGGTGACTAGGCATAGGTGAGATCCCTAACTTCAGCTATCTAAAATGATGTAAGATGAGCCACGCTCCTTCACCACCCTGATTTGAAGTCTGGAACTCACATATGGGTTGTGGCCTTTGGACCATGATTTCCCAGAATGACAACATTTCTTTGTTGCAGTTTTGTAGTGTAAAGCGGGGAAAAAAAAGAATTATAGTATGTTCCTTATACACTAACCTGTGAGCATCCAGCTGACATGTAGTAACATCTGACTACCTGCAGCCTCCCTAAATATCAGCTACAAGAGATTCAAACTGTTTGCTGTATGTGAATAGAAGCAGCACAGAAAAGCAACCTTGCAGCACTGCTTTTCTCAAGACTACTGAAAAACAAGGTCATATAGAGTAATCATCTGCCTCATGAGGAAAAAGAACCCAGTGTTATCCTCATGGTAACCCCAGTTGGGCCTAGCACTGGTAGTACACAGCTTACAGCAACACCAGTCCATGTCTTCTTTCACTGAGCCATAAACACTGAATTTATTTATTTTCTTAGCCTGTGGGTGAATGGGTTTCCTAAGTGGAAGAAAGGCAATAAAAGAAGCAGCTTCCTGACATATTTCACTAACTGCTCAGAGGAAACCTCATCTTTTCCCAGTTTGCCATGGGTATTAGAGTACAGGCACACTTGTTCTGTAGCTAAACTACCACGTTGATTTTGCACTGAGACCATGCCTTAATGGACTCACAGGTACTATTGCAAAAAAGTATTAAGTTAAAATAAAACAAAATGAACCATTTGATTTAGATGAAGTCTAGGATGAGCAAAGAATCCTTAACTAAGATGCCTCTGATGGTTTAGCAAATAACATATGACAGTAAGTGGGATGGATACAGACAGTAATCCTAGAAATGTCTTAGACATCCCAGACTACCAGTGTACAATAAATGTTGGATGTGCAGCGACTGACTCAGTTACTTTGCTCGACAAACCTTGCTGTCTCAGCAAGCTCAGCTCTAGCCTACTCATCAAGGGGCTCATGATATGTCCTTGTGCTTCCTGACTGTGAGATATTTGTTAACAGGCTTGAAATTGTACTTTGATTAAAAAAAATCTTAGGAATGAAGTTTTAATGATGCCAAACTACAAGTCCAAACTCCTTCAAAATGGAGAATAGTTACCAGTGGCAGCCAAGTTAAGCTTTTAGGTATGAAAGAATAATTTGACGCTGCATCAAAAGAATCTGTCTCCAGATACGCCCTCTCAGGACAGCCTTTCTTCTCTGAATACAAAAGAATATGATTAAGAAAACTCAGGGAAATGAGCAAGCAGCCTGGTCACACTGGCATCCGGGGGTAGTGTTTGCCCTCTCAGCTCCCTGCTGGTGGCAGCAGGTGAAGTGGAAAAGCACACATCTCTTCACTGGAGCAGCAGCAGGAGCTAAGGGTCTCCTATTGTACCCAATCCTAATCCAGGCTACATTCATCCTTCTTGTTTCAAAAACCCAGGGCTTCTTACAGGGTTACGCAGATGGTAAAACAATGTATTTTAAAACTGTAACCTAACAAAAATGTAGAGAATTTAAATTACATCCTGGAATGGTGCAGTGAGCACAGTGATGTCCGTACAGGATATGTGAGTTTTTAAAACAAGTTTCTCAGAGTCTGGAGGTAATAATTTGTAAAGCTATTTCCCTGGTGTTGGTTGTTGATGCACTTCAAAAAATAGATGGGAAAAATCCCAGAGTGTAAATCCTCCTAAAATTTACACTGGTAGATTTTAATAAAAGATATATTCTTGAAAACTGGAAGAGGAGCAGCAAAGTGATGGGAAGGTTATTTAATCTCTTGAGCATTTTAATTATTTTTAAATGCTTTGTATAAATAAATTATTTTCAAGGAGCAGTTTTCCTGTTTTATCCCAAATTTGCTTTTGTACCATTAAAAAATACTAAAACCTTCTGTATAAATCTGAAGATTGCAAGGAATATATTTTTAATAAAATAGAACTTCCAGAAACAGACAAAAGTTAGAATATTAAAAAATTGATAGGTGAATCATAAATTCATTGTTTTTCATGAAAGTTCAGGCTCCTAATTGTCTTCGATCCTTCAAAAATTCTTATCCTATCTCATAGGAAAAGGAGTCATCTAACAGTGAAAATGTTCTGACAGTATCACAGTGTATTCTTAATTTTTATAATTGGGCCATATAACTAATTAATGCTGATTCCTTTTACCACCAAGAGAGAATTATTTACTACTTTTTAATAAAAAAAAAAAAAAAGATGCATTTTTCATGGACATCTTGTATAAGAGCTAGAAAATAATGGGTGTTTAAATTTGAACCCTCCTGAAGCACATTATAGCAAATGTGTTAAAAAAGGCATACTCAATGAATACTTGAAAATTTATTGAAATGGGATAATGAAATCATAATGCATGTTAGCTAGCTAGTGACAAAGTCGTTTTAAAAGCCTTTACCATATTCAGATTGCAGGTGATTAGCTGCCTCTCAGAAATGCAAATGTACAAATGGTGTAAACTCTGATAACAACTGCTTTAGTAAAAGCCTGTTTAATTTAAAGTTCCATATTTAAAGTTCCATATTGCTCTTAAGCACAGAACAGGGCTGCCAAGCATTGAATAGCCAAGCAGTTTGGCCACATTTGGAAATAATCTTTCCTGTATGAAATAGGATTCAAGTGAAATACTCTATTTGGACCTTTTCCATCAAATGTTAACTTTCCAATTTTTCAGTTAATAAAAAAGAATATAGTTGATTATGTTGGATAGAAAATATACTAGAAAAACATAGCACTGCTTGTTTTTGTTACTGAATTCTTAGCAATCTCTGAATGATATATGCCTCTGGTGGGGGAAATGTACTGAGGACTGGAAAGTGCAGTCAGGCTGGCTATGTGGTTTAAGAAACAGATTCCAAAATAACAGCCTCCATTAGCACCATAGGTGGGTATGTATGCAAAGTGATTCCTATTGTCTCAGGGGGAAAAAGCTTGTTGGTTTAATGCAGTACTCTAGCTACTCCCTGGTGACTAATTCATAGCTACAAAAACACAGAACTGAAGACAATCTATGAACCTGTTTACATTATCTGCTAGAGGCAACATGCAATACTAATGGAAACTTTTTGGGATATGACAGGGAAATAAAAATATAGTTACACGCAATAGCATGCAAATGTCATAAATAGGAAGAAATTTGTGCTAACTCAAAGCCTATTTCATTAAAACAGGATTAAAAAAAAAATCACTTAGCTTCAGTTCATCAAAACATGAAGGCTGCAGTGACAGCAGCTCTCTGTGTTCAACGGAGCTATGAAGGTACACTCCAATATTCTAAGAACAATCTTGGAAAGCCATTTATAACAACTTTTGGGAGACTGGATCCTTCTTCAGGACAAAGAGTACAATGCAACAAATATAATAAACATCCAGGCAGTGTTCTGAGTAAAATCAGGATAGGATTGACAAGACAAGAAGAAATTACCTCAAGTTGCATCAGGGGATGTTTAGAATGGATATTAGGAAAAATTTATTGTTGTAAAGGCCCAGGGAAGTGGTTGAGTCACCATCCATGGAAGTGTTTAAAAGACATGCCAGTGTGGTACTTATGGACCTGGATTAGTGGTGCACTTGACAGTATTAAGTTAATGGTTGAACTCAGTGATCTTAGAGGTCTTTTCCAGCCTAAGCGATTCCATTATCATTCTATGATGTTAGTGGGCAAATCTCCAGTACCAATGTAAGCTGGAATGAACTGGGAGAGTATCACATGTTAGAAATCTGGGCAGATCTATAGCATGGGGACATGGGAACCACTGGAGGTGTTCAAGTCTATATTAAATAACAAGAATTAAAAAAAAAAGGTTTATGACATTTAGAAAGGCCTTCCACATATACTTCTATATGCATATGTTTAATTTTGGTTAACATTATAGCTCTCAATTAAATCGAATGTAACAGCCAGGATATTTGCGTAAGAGCTACCTGAATCGAAAAAGAAAAAAAAGAAAAAAGAAGTGCCAGTTCTTTAAGTATGTTCTACTTTCATTTAAGGTCTACAGAGCATTTTGTAAACAGTTTCTTACATTGTTAATTTGTTTTCTCTTCAAACTTTTAATGACACTATTTTTGCAACGTGATAAAGTGAAAGTTCAGACTGCACACTGAGCACTTCATGCTATGCTTGAAAATTATACTGCATCTCTGAAAGCAGACTAATTGATACATGTTTTACAGATCAAAGCTTTCACCTCCACATGGGAAACCTACAATATAGCCTAAATATGAAATATCTTGTTATTTATTCCCTAGTAAGCAAAGAATAAAAACCCACATCACAAAGGTGTGGAAATGGCACACCTTTTGCTGCTACCATTCACATATAGCACCAAAAATTGACTTATCTAGCATGAAGCCATAGATAAAAACGGGCTAGAAAACAAGGAAAGTACTGTCATATCATTAAGTTGTCTCTGCTTAGTAGTGATTAATAAGTGAATGTTTTCCTTCCTTATATACCTTGCTTCAATTTGTTCAAAATTATGAGTAGACTTTTTCGTTATCCAGCTTGCTCAGATGTAAGAGTATGTGTTGAAGTTTACTTGGTCTTTCCAGCAATCTTAAATTTTACTGTGTGTTCTTCAAAATCAGGCTGTCAAGGAAAATACTAAATGGAGGTTTTGGCAAAACATAATCAGATTTTCAATAACCTAGTTTGTTTTTCAGTCAATCCTGAATACTATAATACAATCCCAATATGGTACCTAATAAAGGTATTAAAATGCCAGCACATGAATTCTCAGATATCCTTTCAGGTGGTTTGGAAAACGAACTCCTCATCAGTGATGGAGAAAATGAGGTGCACGCAGCAGCAGAAGGGTCAGTGAGAGAGTTTGGCTCAGTACAGAAACTTGGCATAGACCATACCATTTTTCCACTGACATAAAGCATGTAAGCATGTCCACAGCACTGACTTTTATCAAAGCATTTAAACAAATTTTTCAAGAAGAAAAACACTTCTGCATTGGCAGAACTAACCCTACCTGGCTCAGTGTGGTGCCAGGGTGTTTGATGGTGGACAAAGGTGAGGGCATAGAAAGGTGTTGAGGAACCAGGAAAGCACACAGCAAGCATTTTTCACATGCTGTCCCAGGCCTCAAGAGCTTACAGTTCTGGGGCTTCCTGAGCCAGGTGGAAGTCTCTGCACTTCATTGTGCTCAGTGGACTTTTCTTGCATGATCTGTCCAGGCATCTCTTGAACTCAAAAACACAACAACCCTCTGTGGCAATGAGTTCTCAGGTCTACATACACATTGACTGAACAAACTCCACCTTTAGATTGATTTGGTTCATTTCATAATCCTTGTTTCTTAAGCAAAGAAACATGTGCCAGCTAGTGGTATTCCCATTAAAAGGGAACAGGAAGAAGCTGAATGACCTCCAAATTCATAGTCAGTGATCCCAGTGATCACAGAACTCTGAACCCAGAAGTGTCAACTTCCTGACCAAAGATTAGACAGTATTTTTTTCTTAGAGGAATTAAGTGAATTAATTCTGAATCTTAAAATCTTTTTAAAACATTATTGATTTGGATTTAAAATTGCATCTTTAAGTCTTCCCAGAAAACATTTTTTCCTTTTTGTTCTTGACGTAGGAGTACATTTATATTTAAAGGCACTTGGTTTACAGAGAAACAGTAAGGAAACAGAACTACAAAAGAGAAGGTTTATACTTACTAACAACATTAGCTTGTCCAGTGAAGATGGTGTACTGCAGCTCGTAAGAGACCACGCTGAACTCATCATCCGATGTCCAGTGGACAGTAATGGTGTCATAAGAAGCTGTACAGAGCTCTTCTCGAATGGTGGGTGGGTTGGGAGCTGCGAGATACAATAGAGGAGGCTTACTGACACAATCAGTAAAGTATTTCCCCTCTCACCTGAGACTAGGGGATGCACCTGATGCTTGAATTTGCAGCAATACCATCTAACAGACTTTTCAACAATGTTTTATTAATTCCAGTGGTAACTTTGATTTAAACAAACTGTTGGAAAAGAACTCTTACTGTCAAGAACTCTCACTTTTGAAAATAATTTGTATTAAAGTAGCTTTTGTTTCAGATGCCCTAGAACAAGTGATGTGTTGGTGGTCACATTAAACTGTGATTAAATGGGTAGAATTGACATGTTACTTTTTCTAGGATTGTTCTGACCATCATAACAAAATTATCAAAGTTTCATTGATGTGTATCAAGAGGGAGAGTCAACACTCTTCTGAGTTGACTTGAAAGCAGTGTTTGGCTAACCTATCTTACCAGAGATTGGCTTAAGTGGTCCTTAACACAGTTTTGGGGAAGCTCCAAACACTCATACTTTCATGTTCAATTTTCTCCTCTCTCTTTAAAGAGCTATTTAAATACGTGAAATTTGAAGCAAACTTCTTAGGTCTAAATTTTCCTTTTTTGCTATCTTTACAAAGTCAAACACCTAAATAAGAAAGAAGTGAGTCTCTATTTCAAAGACTGGTGGATATTCCTCATTCTTATCTCAGTGGGAGCTTCATTACTAATCATCTTCTCTACAAGCCACATCATGGAAAAAAAATAAGTCCTTGCTCTTAATAGTGTTTCTCCTAACTGTCACAGAGATCAAAGGAGGGCACTCAAGGTGAAACAACCAAAATATGCCTGTATTAAGGTAGGTAGGTAAAAGGAAGGTAACTCCGACTGTTTGGTTTTTAGTTTGGTTGGGAGGGGGAGATTTGTTTGTTTGTTGTTAGCTTTGTTTTTTGTTTTTGTTTAGTTTTTAAATTTTGGTTTTGCTTGTTTTGTTTCCTGTCAGGTCTTTAACCTCTGTTAGTAACAAACAATGACCTCTAAAAAAGTCCCTCTGAAGGAATTCCACCTTTACTGTTGCAACATCTTATTTTTATGAAACATTTATTTTACTTTCCATTAAGAATTTTTGCAGTTCATGTCTCCAGTTTACTGATGTATGTTCCCAAGGATTAAAGTACAGACACACTTCCAAGCAGCCTCTTTCAACCAAGGGGCATAAGGAAATGCTCAAATGTCTTTCATGATATGGCCATGATTTGTGATGCTCTAAATAATGTATCATGGAAGTTTACCAATACTTTTGTTTTTAAATCAGCAGAGAGAACCCTTGGGACAGGTGTGTATTAATGAAAAGAAAGAGAAATAAACTAAGAAAAGAACAGTTATCCAGTTATCCAGGAGAAGAATATAAACAAAAGGAGTAAAAAAACTCTCCATAGTTTTCTGGAAAGGTTAGTGATACTATCGACTGTGTTTCAAAATGTATCCAGTAGAAAAATCACTGGAGTTTTTGTTGGTTTTTTTTTTTTTTCTTCCTAGATGAGGCTTCTTATTAATATTTTGCCTTTCTTTCAAAGGAAAAAAAATGGAATAAGTCTTAATTACAAATATACAAGTTAATCCATTTTTCTGTGTGCAGGTATTCAACTGAACTCTTCTTCAGTCTTCTCCTTCACCTAACACAGCAAAGTATTTTACTTGGGAAATGTACTTATTATTACCTCAAAACAGAAAAAAATATTAATTTATGGAAAGCAAGAATTACTGAAGATTTAATGAACTGTAAACTGCATTTACATAGCACCTAAGTGTCTTCAACTCCTTTGCAAATGGCAGCCTAGTTCGCTCTTCATATGCACACCTGGCCCTGTAGGTGGAAATTTACAGGCCCTCATGTGATATGAATGACTGAAAAGAGATTTGACCTAAGCAGAACATATATTCCCTGGCTCTTGTGATTAACCCCCACCCACCTGAGACTATACTGCATGAAATTCAGGTCTTCAGCAACATTCATTTCATAAACCACTCATCATAAAAGAAATACATCTGCTTCTCCTGCAGAAAGGCAGGCAAGTCTACATTCAAATGCTTTGTTACAACAAAATGTATGATGCAGACTGCCAAATTCATCATTCCACAGCACATATCCCTTTAGAGAGTGTAAGTTTGTAATGCAATTAAAGAGGTTGATCTCATCCAGTTAGCTTCATTATTACATTTGATAATGTGTGATTTGGTTATTGAATTCACTGGGACTGCTACAGAGCTCAGGTGCCACAGGGAAAGCTCCTCACAGACTGGTGGTCTCCAGGCTGCACTATCAACTTCCCTTTTGTGACTCAGATGTGATCCACCACTGTTCAGGAAGCCCAGCATGCTTTCAGCACAGCAGTGCAAGACATAATAAACCTTCAGTCCTCCACAGAGGATCAGAGCACATATCTGGGAGTGGTAACTGCTTCAGACACGCAGACTTTCGTCCACCTGCATTTGTGAATCAACAGTCTCACAAGAGAGAAATATCGTTGCTGAAGGCTGTTTTACTTCATTTCTACTAAAAACTGAGCAGACACACTTAAAAAGTCAGTAATCACATCTGAAATGCCTGAAAGCCACTAATAGTAGAAAAGCAGTTTCTTAAATTTGCTCTCAGAAGTAACAGGCCTTGTGAGCACAGCTACCCCCTCTAAACCAGGTTAGTCTAACTCACCTTCCTTTCCATGTCATCTGCATGGCTTTTGCCATGAATGCACTCACGTGGTCCATACATCTGAAACTGCCTCCTCTCATTAGTGAATCCCAGCATGAACACAGCAGCCCTTGGTGACTAATGAGACTAAATTCTCTCAGCCCAAGGTCGCAGAGACTGATAAAAACCACCTCAATTTCCTTTTGTTTGCTCAGTCTCCATCTCCCTGCTCTCATGGTGTGGTTGACTTTGTAAGGATTCCCTACTGATTTTGATACTGAGTAAAGAAAGGAAGATCTAAGCCATTTCTTTGACTAAAATGGTGCTAGAAATATCCATATTGCTGGTATGAACATGAGGGAGTTGAGGAGGGTGCTCTGAACCTCTCTCAGATATTCATTACTGACTCCATCATGTATCATGACACTGAATTGCACCTGCATGCAGGAATTTGAAAGGTACAGTTTCATCAGATGTGGATACAAATGTTGTGTATTACTAACTTGCCATGTCTGAGTTGGTTTCAAGGGCTCAGCCACACAATTGTCTAGACATAGATTTTGGGTAGACCAGAACTGCTCAAAACCAACAGAATGAGAGGAGATTATACCCAAACCATGAGACTGAGCTAGCTGGAGTTGGTTTTTGATCTTTCAATAGTGAAAGAGTTAAGCAGTAGAACAGGTTGTTTCCTATTGTTTCCTGGAAGAGTTTCCAGAATGAAGTTGTTTCTGTGTGAAAAAATTGCTGGCATATGCTAGGCAATGCATATTTCTTTGTGCAGTGACAGCTAAAGTGATGAATAAAGAAAACTTATCATTGTTTCAGATGTGACTTCTGTAGCAGGGTAAATTGCAAGGTCAAAGAATAGATGTTCCTGCAATTGATTTCAAAGTACTAAGACACAGAACAAGTATTTTTGATTCACAATGGATAAAAAAATTCCTTAGGAATTGTGCAGAGAGTTTGCAAATCATATGTATTGCCTGGATCTAGCTAATCATATGTATTGCCTGGATCTAGCTAGATACACATTTAGAAAAAGATGATTTCCAGATGAAGAGCTTGAGCAACTGGCAAGATAAGAAAGCTTTCAAAAGATATCAAGGCTACATATACAGATAATAGAACAGTCAGAGGAAGATTAGAAGTATTGTTTTAAGATACTGAGCTTGATACGTCAGTGTCTGGCTGGCAACTTTCAGAAAGATAGCAGAGATTTTCATTTGGATAGTAGAAGCTTTGGAAAGACAGCTGCACAAATGATAAACACAAACTGGTTAAATTTATATTCAGGAAAGAAATAGTGTAGGAAGAAAGAAAGATGCAATCATCAGTGTGCCACATAGAAAAGTGGGACTGAGGAGATGGAAGATGAAAAAGATCTGACAAATGGTACACTGGGAAGAACCAAAAGAGAAGAAAATCTCCCAAAGACAATCGAGGTCAATTGTTGCAAAAGCCACTGGCAGTAGAGATAATGAAGCTGGAATTTAGACTTTGACATTTTGTTCAGAAGCAGCACAGATGATAGTTATAAGGTAGGCTTCTTCACTTAATTCACAGCATAGATCTACCACTAAGACTTACAAATGGTCTTCATTTTACTTAACTGTGAAAAATGATAAAAGTAACGCGTAATTCACTCTGTCACAAAGTGTTCAGTTTAAGATCTATGAAGATTCCATGCACCAGTCTGAAAGGAGTAATATAATATAAATCTTCCTCCAGAGTTTCTGAACAACAGTAGAGAATAATCAAGCGCATTTGACTCTTGGGAATATATATATATATATACACACACATTACATATATACATATATTTACATAAATGTATTTTAACTGTCTACATAGGTTGTATTTTATGCTCAGATAATTTGAACATGTGTTTTGTATTTTGCCATTGCAGCCATATGCTCTTTATTAATGTGAAGAAAAATAGCACAAAACCAAAGCCAGCTAAAACTGTTTTTTGCTGGGCATCAAGGGCAAGGATAAAAATGGTCTATTAGGAAAAAAACCAGTTAAAACGCTTGATGAATTTACAAGTTCCCTTAGACTGCACTGTAAGCAATTTCTTAAGACCATGGATGAATTTGGAAAAAGGCAGAGAAGGAGCTGTGTAAATGACACAACCAGAATGATGGATCACAGAAAAATTCTTTGTAGCAAGATAACCCTTGTACAGATACAGCCTTCCTTTGTTTTCTGCAGTTTGTATAGCAATTAAGCTGATAATATTGACATATGATGTACAAAGGGGAAAAGACCCCAGGGGTGCAGAAACAGACTGCTAGACAGAATTCACCTCATATAAAGATCTAAACCATAATTATAATTATCTGTATTTCAATGAGTACATATAACCTCTGTTTGGAGACAACTGGGAGAAATAGGTAACTCCAGAATGAGTCCACTGCCCTGATATATGTGCCTTAAAATGTGGTGGTTATTACTCTTCCACTGTAAAGGATGTTGAGATTGATTATTTTATGGGCAGATTACTAGGTTAGGGCAAATGAGTGTGGTTTTTTGTTTTAATTCCTCCTTTGATTTTCTTGGATTTTTATAATTTTGGGGTGAATGCTCAACATGGTGGCAAAATTCCAGCAGATCTGGGGAGAGGCAGACACCACATATTTGACTGCTACTGTATAAGAAGTTGAAATTATTCTTACCCCATTATTATTGTGTCTTATTTAATAGAATATGTCTTAAATATTGATTGTATTCATCAGTCACAATACAGAAATTTCTTCTAGATAAAATCTCTTTTTCAGATATGGCAAGCCACAGCTCTATCAGGCAAGGATGCTGCTGCCCTGGCCATGCCCCTAGTATTGCACTGCCCAGTATTAATCTGTTCACTTATTCATGGAATCATAGAATCACAGAATCATAAAATAGTTTGGATTGGGAGGGACCTTTAAAGGTCATCCGGTCCAGCTCCAAACAGTGAACAGGAACATCTTCATCTAGATCAGGTTGCTTAGTGTCCTATCCAATTTGACCTTGAATGTTTCCAGGGATGTGGCATCTACAGCCTCTCTAGGTGGTCTGTTCCAGTCTCACCACTCTCACTGTAAAAGATTTTTTCCTTATATGTGGTGTAAACTTATGCTCCTTTAGTTTAAAACCATTACTCCTTGTTCTATCACAACAAGCCCTGATAAAACGTTTAAAGTATTGAAAGGCCACAATGAAGTCTCATTGGAGCCTTCTTTTCTTCAGGATGAACAATCCTAACTCTCTCAGCCTTTGAAGAAAAGCCAGCAGACAGCACTCTGCATGGAAAAGATACAGTGATTGGCAATGAGAAGACTCTGCACTCTCACTTCTCCTGAACTAACACGGGTATACCAACTGCAAACTGGGACAAGTGAATGGACCCAGGAAGAGTTTTCAAGTGTTTTTGGAACAGTGCTTTGTACCCTTCATTGCAAAGTCTTGCTGTTAACAGCAGATGCCTAAAAACACTGCAAAATTAAAACATGTCTCTTCTGTTTTCAATTGAACTGGAATGAATTGTTCTAATTCTGGCATTGAAATCAAAACATCCTAAATTACAGTAATTTGTTTCTCTTTGTGAGTCATTGTACGCTCTGAGAGTGCACATTACTCAGGCTTTCAGTAAGGGTCTAATCCTGTGGGCTTCTTCAGGCCAAAGATCTCAGTTAATTGAGGTGGGGCTCTGCTCTGTGGAGAACTCAACCCACACTCTGGCAGAGTGCACTGTGTGCTCTAGTCCCAGCCACAGCAAGATCCTCCAGTTCTGTGATGGGGGAAATACAGTGTCACCGACATGAGAAAACATCTTTCATTGCTGAGCCCATGATGTTGATTACTTGAACTGCTTCTGGTTGCTCCTGGGAACTCTGCCAGGCTGCAATCTGCTGCAGCAAGGAGGCAGCCCCAAGGGAGAGGATAACACCTGGAGCACCCAGCTTCTGGGAAATGGGGTTTAGTCCCTGCTCTCCCTCCTCTGGCTGCTCCATGCTGAGCTCCAGCTGTTCTTTCACTTTGTTCTGCTGCAGTGGCTTTTAACCATTTCTCACTCCCACTTCCTCACTCCAGTGGGGACGAATGCAAGGAGAAGAAGTAGGAAATGCATCCCAGTTGTGTTGTGTAGCATGTAACGCATCCTGGGGCATTCTGGGGCTGCTAGGGGTAATACATTCAGGATTAAGAGGAGAGAGTAGTGGGTTCGTGTAGCAGGGTTTTGGTAGTGGTTGGGTTATAAGGGTGATCCCTGTCAGAAAAGACTGAGAGCTGACTCCATGACAGACACAGACAGTCCTAAGACAGACCTGCCACTGTCCAAAGCTGAGCCCATCACCAATGCTGGTAGTGCCTCTGTGGTAATATTTTTAAGAAAGGGTAAAAAAGGCTGTGCAACATCGGGGAGGGAGATGAGTGAGGAAATGTGATAGAAATAGCCCTGCAGATGCCAAGGTCAGGGAAGAAGGAGGGGGAGAAGTGCTCCAGATGCCAGAGCAGAGGTTCCCCTGCAGCCTGTGGTGAAAACTATGGTGATGCTGGCTGTTTCCCTACAGACCACGGAAGATTACAGTGAAGCAGATATCCACCTGCAGCTGTGAAAGATCCCCGCTGGAGCAGGTTGATGTGTTCTGGAGGAAGCTGCAGCCTGCAGAGAGAAGACCACACAGCAGCAAGATTTCTCAGAGGAACTGTGGCCCACACTGAAACAGTCCACTCCTGAAGGGCAGCATCTGGCAAAAGGACCAAAGCTGGAGCGCTTCTTGGAGAACTGAAGCCTGTGGGAAGGGCTCATTTTGGAGAAGTTCATGAAGAACTCTCATGACAGAATAGTGGAAGAGCATCACGAAGAAGGAGTGACAGAGATGATGTGTGATGAACTGACTGCAAGCCCCACTCCCCATCACTGTGCTCTGCTCTATGGGGAGGAAGTAGAAGAGTTGGGAGAGAAGTTGAACCCAAGAAGGATGGAGTGGGGGACAGTTTTTCTTAGACATATTTTTATTTCTCAGTGTCCTACTTTTACAATTAATAGGCAATAAATTACATTTATCTTCCCCAAGTTGAGTCTGTTTTGCCTGTAGCAGTAATTCTTGAGTGAACTCCTTGTCCTTATCTCAACCCATGAGCTTTTCATCTTATTTTCTCCCCTTACTGAGGAGGTAAGGGGAGAGTGCCTTGGCAGTTAGCCAAAGATGTGACCACAGAGAAGACTGAAGAAAATCTTATCACTACTGTTTTATGATGAATATATTGTGTAGCACCTTGAGAAAAAGTACCTGTAAGATAATCAAGGCATTCCAGCAATTTCTTCTCCCTGGTAAAATCAAGTGCGAACGTATCAAAAGTATCATTGAGATTAATTTCAGGAATTAGAACCTGGGAGGATGCAGTTGCCATGGAAACCCTGTAATCAAAAGAAAAAAATCTTTTAGCATTCAAGACAGTAACTTTCACATCAACGTCGACCTATCAATATGATTATCACAGTCATTGTGATTTTTTTTTTCTCAAAAAGCTTGACAAAAACTTCTACAAGTATTTTATTTATATGGTTTAAGTTAGGAGCTTGTCCTGCCACTTTATTTTTGAGAGCAAAATCTCCAATAAAAACTTCTTATTACTGAACTTTGGCCTAACATGAAGTGTCGGATAAGATTTTAACAAAATATTAGCTAAGCAACAATACACTTTGAATTGCTCTTTTTAATGACCCGTTGAACCAAAGTAGCAATAGCACCATAATTATCTGTGTTTTAAGCAATCCTGACAGATGCTGCATCTCTCCCAACCCTTCTTTTTCCAAATAGTTTCTGGCTCCAGGCATTCCTTGGCACTGCTATCCCAAGGGCTTGGTGCAGATCCCCACACCTCCTCAGCTGTTCAGCACAGCACACTGCTGTTAACTTCAAAAGGCACGGGGGGAGATAAAACAAATAGATGTCAGCACAGTTTATTTTGAAAGGTTTTTCCCTGAAAAGCATGGGTGCATACTTACATTTCCTCCAAAACTGAAAGGTTTCCTTGCCTACCACATTTCAGGAGCTACATCCACATTTTCTCTGTCCTGCTGTACTAATATAAAGAGATGAACTTTCACAAGAAAACTGCCATCAGGAAGGATTTTTCAGATCCTTCAGTCTGGTATCTCAAAATGCATGTTTCTGGAGAGCTGGCTTATGGATATGTTTACAGAAAATTCAGTTGATTTAGGCAAAGAGATTACTAAGCCTCATTAGAAATTGGTCAATTGCTTCAGTTTGGAGGTAAACAGACAACCATGCACACAATGCCTGTCTGTTATCTGTCATTCATGACATGTGTCAGATAAAAATATTTTGATTGCTTTAATTAAAATTTTCCCAAATTAGAGTATTTTTTCTGTAGATGGAACTGAAATGGCTCCAGGACAAATGTTTACTAAAGGCTCTATTTTTTCATATATTTTTTGTTTAGTATTTTAGGAAAATACAGTTAGGAAAGTCAAAAATTGATCTGTACATCTCATTGTCTTCAGCATAGTTTTCAGAAACTGAGCTAAGGAGGGTTCCTACTCAATAATTCTTGTTAGACAGTTTTCAATATGGTTTCTCTTGCAACTGTGGTGTAAAAATTAGTTTAAAGTGGATCCTAGAACAGATTTTTTTTTTTTTTAAGAGGCCAGCTGAAGTGCCTTTTGCCCCATGTATTTAAAGGGAAAAATTCCCTTAGCTTTTACACTTCTTTTTTCTTTTTCCACACCTCTCAAACCCCCGGTAGTTCATCTGCAGTTATAATATGGTGTTTTTACACCTAGTAGGAAAAAAAGACATGCATTTCTTGTAGGGCCTGTGTTAGGGTAAACTCAGGGTGACACTCACCTCTACAAAATTAACAATGGCCTTGCTAATTAACCAGTAAGCAGGTATGTAAGAGCTTCTTTGAACACCTCCACAAAGCACATATTTATTACGTAGACTGTATCACCAGGCCTTTTTGGACTGTCATTCGGGGCCATGCAAAGGGTGCTCTGTGATTACATGTGTTCCACTCATTTTTTGGTGAGCTCAACAATTCACAATTTCAGACACCATGTCACAATATTAGCTTCAGAGGATTGAATTTCATCTCGCAATTCTTCCTGCTTTGTCTGACGCTGTGCTTGGTTGGAAAGGGTTTTTTGTGGGATAAATGCATTTTGTGCACTGTAAATAATGCACAGCCTACATCACCGGAGTGTGTGTAATGACTTTGCTTGCATAGTTACCTGTTGTGCTTACAACAGAGAACATTATACTGCAATTACTTTGAAATATGTGGATGAAGAAATGCAATGAGCATGATTTCAGGAGACTGCTTTAGCTGCTGGAGCTCAGAGCCTTGGTGAAACTGTTACATTAACAGTCTAAAAGCAAACAAAATGTTGCTCACCACATGAGATCTAAGAATGTTACTTGGGAGGAATAATTTATTAATCTGATTTAGTCTCTTTTTCCATTTGCAATTTGTCTGTAAGCACTTGGTGCTTTTTTACCCTTGGTTTTATTCACTGCTTGAAATGATTCTTTGATTTGCAGGGCGTTCACAGCCGTCTCATTACAGACAGAAATCTGTGATAGCCAAGAATTAAGTTTGATTGGGCCCATATGTCAACTTGCCTCATTTTTGCTCTCTCAGTGTCTCTCCTGTGACTGTATTTATGATGCAACTGTTCATGTTTTACAAGTTCAAAATGGAGCTTCTCTGATTATTCCCTGGTAGTCACTTAAAAAGCTCTGTCTCCACAGGTTTCTGCCCTACTGCTGGTTCTGCTGAATACTGAAAAAAGGACAGACTCCCAACTTCAGCTTCTGGTACTCATAGTAGTTTTACTACTAGCTTCAACTGGGATGTCACAATGTAGCTTGGTGACAGAACACAAACTAGGCTCTAAGTCTGAAAGACCTCATATTCTCCACTGCTTTATCTGGCCTTGCCTTTTCCAACAGATTTTCAATTCTCTGAAACTGTTATGAGCAACCCAATATTGATGGCTTATTTATAAATTGATTTATAATTTATAAGAAGACTGATACAGCACACCAGAGTAAGTGATAGGCTTAAAAAAAATATATAATAGGAGCAGGGAATTTCATGCTTTGTGTTCAGGGAGAATTGACTGGAAAATGTAAAGATATAATGTGAACCCAGAAACAAAAAATCAGCTGAATTAATAGCATACTTTTGGTGGCTTTCTTCTTCATTGTTCAGAGATATTCTCCCTGTTTGTTTGTTGTTTTTTAAATATTATCGATTGATTGCTAAACAGCTGATAATTCCAACAGAACATTTTTTTAATCAAAAAATACTGCTGAAGTTCAGTGCGAATGTTTCAGCATTCACAGCGTTGCACTGAAAACCAGACCAAATTTTATGATAGCACAGCCCTTGTCTTTGGGTCCTTGATATATCTGACATGTTTAAGAGAATCCAGGACCCTAAAAACAGTAGAAACTTGCTGCACCAGGGGACCCAACACAGTAATTCACGTAACTTCCAGACATCCAGACTGTTTATAATCTCCATCTCTTCAAAGATGCATGGTAGAGGTCATATGTTTCATTAACTTATAGCTTGCTATTTGGTGAAAAATATGTATCTGTTAAGACCATTACCAGTTTCTGCTAAGGAATGTATTTACTATCTGACTTCTTTCTCAATCTCAGAATTTTTCATGAAGTACGAATTTCAGCCTCCAGAAACCTTTTTTTTTTTTTTTTTTTTTTTAGTATGTTTAGCACCAGACATCTGCTTGGCAACCATTCTACCTACCTCTTTCACTTATGCATGCTGTTAACTGTTCTAAATCTTAATTTGCACCTTTTTTTTGACTGCTCTTCAAAGGGATATTTTGATTTAGCATTACAGTAAAGTTCTTCCCACTCTGCTATAGCACAAAGTAGTGTTTTAGGGGAGTGTGTCAATAACTCCTCCGTCTTTGACCACATCTGTGGTGTGACAAGACTACGGAAACTATGACAACTCAGCTACCTTAAAGTGAGGTTTTTCTTTTTATCAAGAGGAACATCTTCTTTACCTTTCAGTGATATTTTTAGCTGTCTGCAGGAAGCGAGCGTGATCATTCTCCTTCAGCGACTGCTCAGCCTGAGAGATGAGGGATGTCGAGCGCTCAATGCACTGTTTGCAGTTCGCAATCTGCTGAGCCAGTTTTCTCAACCTCACCACCTTGAGTGAAAACATAAGAAAGCAGTCACGTCTCTAAGGTGTGTATCACAATTGTATTTGCACTGCAGAGGCAAAACTTGGCAAAGGAGGAGTTAAGACGAATGGCTTCGGTGACAAGAGCTTCTTTCACACAAGCTTTGTGGGGAATTCCATCTAGTCATGCAACATTTTCAGTAGGGGACAGGCACAGTCTTTCTGCCTGAATATTTTCCACATGGAAAACAACGGAGGAGAGCCAAAATAAGCACAGCTGGCCTATTTTCCAGCAGAAGGAACGTCATTTCCTGGTAACTTCTGCTTACATGATAACTAAAACTATTTAGATAACCATTTCCCTGAAATTATGAGATCTGTGTTAAAGGCATCTTATAGATTAACTACATTTTTCCTGTTACTTAGGTGAGTTTCATAAAAAGAAATAATCTTAAAATGTAACTTAACAGAAAAAGACTATTCAGTTCTACTAAGAAGACACACCTGACCTTCTCATTATGTGCTTTTAGTCAAACAGAGTGTTTTCTGACTGGATGTTTTTAACTGGACAAAAGCACAGTAGTGCTTGAGAGATGATTATTATTACTGGAAACATATGTGCTGGAGATAAACACAGTAGATGTGACTGTAATCATTAGCTGAAAGGTTAGGAAAGGGCACAGTCAATCCTCCATTTAAAGACAATGTTGGCTAACAAAACTTCCAGGAACTAGAATAGTTCCTGAAAGGTCTGGGAGTCCTTTCCATTGTTATCACATCAGGACCATAGTTTGAACAGCAGTAAGAAATAGGAAGGAAATTAAGTAATTCTGGAGTTTAGAAAGGCACATTAAGAGCCAGTTACATTCAAAATGAGGAAACTAACAACCAAGTGGGTTGGCAGAAATATTCAAATTTATAATGAAGATTCTCAATCTCAGGAATTAGGGAACAAGCTATGAAGCTGCTGAGTTAAATTTCAGATATATTTGTGTCCTAAGGATGGATGAGGTTATCTTAGTACACCTATCTGACAACAGAAGTAAGTAGGAAAATAAACTTTTTTGAAAAACTTTCCAAAAAAGATACTGTCCAAATGATTAATGTCATGTAACATTAGTATTTTTTCTAAAGATAGAAAAAACAAAGCAGGGAAAATGCTGGGAATGCATAAATTTTAATAATGCTAATGATCTGATCAGTTTCTAGGATGAACTAATGCCATAATGCTTTCTCTACCTGTGCATTTACAGAGATTATAATTTGGTTTATGCCAGTCTAACCAGGAAAGGTTCATTGTAGTGTTAAAAAATTCATCTCTTTATTAATTAAAAAGTAAACAGTGAACTGAACAAATGTTACCGTGTGAGTTTTTTGCACTCAAAAGAAGGCATGTCATGATTTGTGACATGTTTTTTGCTTGCTTGCTTCTTTTTATATCTTCCTCAAGAAGACAACGGATGATAAATTGTAAAAGGAAGAGTTTCATCTCACTCACTCCCCACCCACTTCTGCAATGGTAGGAATGAAATCTGCCTTAAAATTATCTTATCTATTTGATATTTGTTTTTTTCCTGTTACAAGCTGTTTGGGATTTTATAGGTTTCAGGTGATAGGTGAGATTAAGGATAGAGCTGCACCAGGTTTTTGGACTTGCATGACTTCAAGGCTGAATCTGCAGCCTTGCAGGCACAGCTAGAACTTTATACCCGAGTGCTTCCATCTCTGTGGCCATAATTACAGTCCTACAGAGAAATCTGTCATGCCCTACCTTCCAGAAAGGCCCCCTTAAAAGAAGACACACTGGGGAGAATATTCTGTGGCTTTTCACATGAGTCTTTTGTACCCCTGAAATCTTTCACCATGTACAACATTTGGGCCAAAGCATTCCAGATCTTTACTGGACCTCCACTGACATCGCTTTTAGCTCAACAAAGCAGAAGAAAGAATGGGGACTGATTCTGATATCAGCTCTATTCAAATAAATTTGAAGTCAATTGTATTGTAAATCTTTCATGCTAAATGGACATTAGAATACATCTTTGTAAGAAACAGTTTTTAAAAGCAATCAGGCACATAGCACAAATCCAAATGAATGGAAATTTTTCTACTTCATTGGCAGCACATCTGGTCTCACTGCATAGAGAAACAGAGTTGAAGCAAAAATTAAGAAGGCCATCTATTCCATTTGAAGGGAATTATATTTTGTTAACAGCCTGAGGAAATTCAGGTTCTGTCACACAGTGTACAGGACCTGTGGTTTCAAACGTGTTTAAATCAGCCCCAGCCTACAGGTTTTTCATTTCAAGTTAATTGGAATATCTTGACAGCCACATGAACCATTTAACCTGCTCTTGACTTTCTTCGTTTCCTGAGCTTTTGCCACACAAGAAGAGTTTATATCTGACTTGGTTAGGTTAGCAGTTAAAGAGTAAACACTGTGCACCTAGCAAATAAAAATATTAATCCAACTGTAATGCATTTCTGAATTAACAGTTAGCAAAATGCGTTGAAACTTAAATATCAGAGATTTTTCCAGCTTAATATGTTTGCCACTAATAATTACTGAACCTCAGGAATTAGAAATGCACACAAATTAATTTCTTGTATGTTTTTTAATATCTTTTTTTTTGTAAATAAATTAAGACTTCCTCTTCTCATGAATTACAATGACTGGAACAAAATCTTTATGTGGTAGTATTTGAATAAATAATGAAATCATCTAGGAAAAAAATCATGTAGATAATTACCAGACATGATTTCAAATGCTGTGACAGTTTGTGAAAGTAAAAACTAGGGGGGGGGGGAAACTGTCAGGCATAAAAGAGAGTTCAGGAATCATTAAGTAGACATAATTTAATTGTGATTTACTGATTGTGACATCATGTCTGTTTTTATCCTTAAAAAACATAATCACACTTAGTAAGAGGAATGCCAAATAAACAGTTGAGGTCTAGCATACTAATTTTCAAGTGTGTCATTCTTCTTTACATGAAAGTAGCAATAGCCTAGGACTACAAAGGGACTTTTACAGTTTTGTATTAATTGTACCTGCAGCCAAAAAAGCTGTAAAACCAAGGAAGCAGTACTGACCTGCTTGTGATCTAAAGAAGAAAAGCTTTTACCTTTCCTTCTTTGATTTTGGTTCCAATTATTTGCCGTCTTTGCTGGATAATTTCAATGAGCTGGTCACATTCTTCCATCAGCTTGGTTTCTTGGCGGGATGCATTTACCTACAAAGAAAAAGATGATGAACAAGACCTTTTATGGCATTTTTCTTTTCCCTTTCCTAATTTGAAAACTGTAATTTCTAAAATGTTGGGTTTGGCACTTTTTTCATTCCTTTCTGTGTATAAACTGTGTGTTATTTTCTCCTCTCTCTCTTGTATTTTGTGAAATACTGAATTGAGTCTCAATGTCTTGTTTGCAGGCAGACCTTACAAATAGATAATCAGGTATTTCTAACTCAGGTGAGAGAAGCCTTGTCCTGTGAGTATGGTCATACCACACATCAGTGAGAAGTAAAATATCTTCAGGAGGTGTTTAACACATCAGTTTGCAGCCATACAGAGGACTGCAGTGAACACTGAGGCACTTAAGAGCACGAGGACTGGATCAGACAATCCATCTAGTGCAGTATCCCCTTTCTCACTGCTGCCAGTGCCAGGATCTGCTAGCAAAGCATGTCAGGAAAAAGCCCTAACATGTATGATGACTCCCATGACTGTTTTCTCATCCTCCAACCATTTGCAGCTCAGAGTCTTCTTGAACCAGACACAATTTGTACATCATTACTAATCCTCAGAAGAATTATATTACATGGATTTATTTAGTCTCTCCTTCAACCCCTGGAAACTTTAAGTATCTGCACCATTCTACAGCAATGAGTACCACAGCTTAACTCACAGGAAAGTGAGCAACTGCCTCTTTAGAGGGATTTGAACCTCTCTCCTTCCAGCTGCATTTAATGACCCCAAGTTCTTTTACTGGAGAGGAATTGAACTAATGATACCCATATATGTCCGCATATTGGTTCCTAAAAGTTTCAAACTATTGAAGACACAAGTGACAACACCAAGTCATGTGTCTCGACTGTCTTTATTATTCCCGCTTTGCCTCAGCAGTGAATCAGACAGAAAATAATGTACTTTTCTGAAGTATAAATACATGAGCCAATGAAACTGTTTTTAATGCAAAAAAGTTCACAAAGAACATTAGCCTTCTATGGAAAAAGTTGACTTTTGTTAAAAAAAAATAAGAAAATTGATGATAGAAAATTTTGGTTCTCAGATGAAAATGTTTTTTTCTGGAGGAAGTTGATTTTTTCAGTGAAAAGGCATCATTCTGTACAACAAGAAAATGTACTTTCCCTCCGGCAGTAGTATGTTTAGCTTACATGTATGTGTAAAGAGTCAGAGAAAAAGGCGAAAAGCTCTAATCATATCTAGAATAAAGCAAAATTGAAAGGACTGATGTTTCCTTTTGCACTTTGCTAGGAGTAAAAGAGGGTAAGAAGGTAAAGCAGGTTGATTGCCCCTACAGCCATGTCACCTTTTCCACTGCGTGAGTAAGAGTCAGTGGTGAACAATAACAGGGAATAGTTTCAGGTGACAAGTAACTGTATTTCACCCCTTAGCTATTTTTTCAGTCCAATGAGTCCCTTGATCTGCATCAGCATTCTTTTTTATCCTTCCAACAATGTGTTTAAACATGAATTTACCTGTAAGCACGTTATGGAGCTCATTAAGCTTAAGCAAATGCTTATATATCTAAATTTTGGACCAGGACCAACTTTACAAATAACCTCCTTATGAGAAAAACACAGTGTCCTCCAGGCAAAGAGGGGACTTTTTTAAAAAGGCTTGCTTTCATCAAGGTTTTGGATTATCCCTCTCAAATCTTCATAAAATTAAAGTTTGTTTGCACATTTTAGAAGCTTAGTTATTAATTAAGATATCAGGATAATGAAGAGAGAATACATTTGTTTCTGGAAGGGGTCCGATGTAACTGTAAGTGTTGAAGAGATCTGTTTGCAGGAGGTGAAGATGCAGAAAGTATTTCCACCGTGCTGTTTTGGGTGCCTACCTATCTCCTTAGGTTAGCTGTTTGCTATGCCTGGTTTCTCACCACAGTCCATGAGGAGAGACAGACCATGGAGCAGCTCACCCAAAGCCTCCAGCAGTGCCAGCGTCTTTCCACTGACAGCTCAGGTAGCCTGGAAAAATTAATCAGTCAGCCCTCTCCTTCCTATTCCCTCTCTTCTTGTCATCCCACCACCTTGGCTGCATCATGGACCTTCCTTCAGCATGAAACTCTGCAGAGCTGTCCTCAATAAGCTGTACAGTGCACTAGTTTCCCCAGCCCTGACTTCAGTTTCACAAGTAGACTGAAATTCCACCAAAGAGGGGGGAATCCTGCACAGGCTCACCCAGCGGCAGTGATCATATCCACCACTTGTAGGCATAACTCCTGTGTCAATACCAAGGTCAGCTCACACCAGAGCCAACTTCAACACTTAATTATGGTAACACTGTTGGCACTTAATTACAGTAACACTTCACGGGATTTTTGAGTAGCTTCCACTCAAAGCGTTACTTCTAGCACCAATTCATTTCGTCAAGCAGAACTAATTAATTTTTGGGATAACTGTCATGAAACATAGAGCTACAGGAGGGTTAAGTCAATATTGTTTCATTTAATGCTCTGGTTGATTTGAATTATTAATGATTTTGAAAAAATTATTAATTGAATCTTAAAAAGCTCTAGACTAAGAAAAACAAAATGCTTGGGAAAAAACCTTTGAATTGCTTATGCACTGACTGTAGAATTCTCTTTTTCTTTGAAATCTGAATAGTATACTCTTTTATACACTTCATTTGAAGACATTTCCAACTTTGTAGCTTGCACAAGCTTATTAAAAATGAAAAGAATATTCCAAAATTATATGATACGTCTGAGCTTTGTATGAAAAAACCCCAAATCCCAACATTTCTTCTGGGGTTTTTCTCAAACTGAAATACTCCTTAATCACATTTTCAGCCTACAAAGCCTCTGATTCAGTAATAACTTTATAATTGAGCACATGCCTAATTTTAAGTGCACTATATTAGCTGTGGCCCTAAAGGGACTATTTGTGAGATTGCCGCTGAACATTATTTACTTTTTTTGTTTTCTAGGAGTCATATGTCAGACCAAAGACCTGCAGGCAAGGATCAGGGCTCCACAGTACAGGTGCTACAGAAACACTGGAATAAGGCTTTGCTTTCTGCTTGAGTCCTTTGATGAACAACAACCTTGACAATAACTTCCAGCTGGGGCTGGCCAAGGAATGCAAGTTCTGCCTGGTGAAAATATTTGAGGTTTTACATTCTACATTTTTCCACATTAAAAAACAAGCCCCCTGTCCAAGGAGTTTGTTAAAAAAGACTTAGAACTGCATTACAAAAATTTGGAGACTGTGTCTGGAGATTGTGGAGGGTCCAAATCTTACAGAGAGTAGACTTCAACCTGGGCTTCCTCCATCCAAGATTGAACACTGAATGCTTAATCTGAGGTATCTGTTGTCTGAGAGTTTATGCTGGACTTGGGGACATCTTTCTATAGAAAATTTCACTGATATCAATACACTTAGTTTTGGCATCAACCAAGTACTTAAAAATCCATGAACCTAAAGCTTTGTGTTTTGTTGGTATCGTTTTTATAAATTTTTCTTCCATGCCACAAAACATTTTTAAAACTGACTTAGTTAGGCTTAGTTACAATTAGACTTAGGAGGCTTAGTTACAATTTGGCAAGAACTATGATATTTTCTACAAACAAGCAAGCAAGAACTGATTCTAATCCTCCTGCTTTTGTGGGGAATTTATTCCTACTTCTGTAATATGCAAAGACCTCAAACAGTTTACTGAAAAAAAAAAAATCTTACAAATTTCAGGTTTCTTTCCAGGTTTTCCAGACAGATGGATAAGGGACTGTTGCCCTTTGCCTCGGGAAGTGGGTGTAGTAAAAAAAGAAAAATAGGGGTTCCTCAGATGTCTGACAGGGACTTGGAAACAGCAAGCCCTCCCAAGCAAAAAGGGGGAGCAGGCCAGCTGTTCCCAGCTCCACAGCCTGAGAACTGCTTTGGAGAGTGTTTCACTCTCTGCAGAGGCTTCCTTGGCTTTCATCTTCAGAGACCTGAATTAAATTGCAGCTTAGGTCATAAGAAAGTGAATGTGGTGGTTTCAAAGTCCCCAGCAGATGTTTGGGAAATTGCAGCACTACAGCATGGCTAGAGATTCGAGATTACAGTGGAGCTTCTATGGTTAATTCAAAGGAAAACAGAGTCAGAGGGCTAGATTCATACCTACCAAAACTTCGTCAACTAATATACTGAGGAAAAAGATTTTTTTTTAGTATCTCAGCAGAATTTTCCTTGCAGGAGTAAAATGCTCAATCTGAGATTTCTTATGGGTGAGGTACTTCTGTCCACAAGTACAAATCCTCATGTCTCTTTTTGGCAAATAATCTCTAAATGATAAGCAAAATAAGATACCCTAAATTAGAGGTGGCCTGCTTTCTTAAGACTACACTGACTGGGACAAATTCATCAAAACCAGAGCAGTTTTTATTTACTAGTCCTCCACTGATTATGCAAAGTGAAAGAAAGTAGCTTGTAGAAACAGTCTCATCTTTGGAAATTGAAGTGTGCATTTGAGTTTCAGCTTCATGATATAAAAATAGTCTCAGTTCCTCAAAAAATAATTTCTTTGTAGCTGTGGGTATACAGGTAAAGAAGAGGTACTAATTTTTCTTTATGCATTTGAGTTGGCGGTTATAGAATGACTGTATGCTCACACGAAAACAGAAACATCAGAAAAGCAAATTGCATGATTCCACTCAACAACTGTTACATCATTGCCACATACTTCACTCTAGATTTGAGCCTGAATTCCTTCTTACACCAAACTCAGAAACTGGGATAAAAAAAATCTAAAGTGATTACATATAATGGCTGGTACCTGTTTTATCTAGGATAAGCTTCTTTATTGTCATGTAGATGTGGAACATATTTTCTTCGATTAGAGTTTCTAGATGAATTAAAGGATTATACTGCTCTAAAGAGAAGAGGTTTATTTTTCTCCATGTTGTAAAGCAAATAACTTTTATTCATAGATCCACAATACATTGAAGTAATATTTTAACATTGTCCATCTTTCATTTATTTATTTAATAGAAATACCAAGGATAATGATTAATGCATACTTATGAAAAAGTTACTTCTCTTTCTTTTTATGGATGGCTAGGCTGAATGAGGGTCATGGATTCAAGCTTTCTTCATTCCATATCCCTGTTTGATATTATGGATTATTCAATTTAGTCTTCTGTAGAGCAAAAGAAACTCTTGGAATATAACTTTTTCAGACTTTGTCTAGTCTAAGTGTAAATCTGATTTTATCTATTATGACAAACTGAACCTTCGGAAATATATGGTATTAATCAGATTGCCATCTGAATGGATCTTTGATAAATCCCTTATTCTGAAATGGTGCAGAAGAAAAAGAAATGGTCATCTTCCATTTCAAGTGTGCCAGAGGCTTTGTTTTTGTTTGCATTC